GTCAATACTGTTCTTCTGAACCTGCATTTTCTTTGATCTAACAATGATTTTTTATTCAAACAAGAAAATGCTTTCCATTCTACACTTTGTAGGAAATCATTTGGATCACTACAAAATAGTGTCATCAAGAAGAATCCAGGCTTCTTTGGGGTGTGTAAGAACTCAAGTAGGAATGCAATCTCAATAGCCATTTTCACTCTTCGAAGCCATTTGAAGTCGTCTGCAGATGAAAAAATGGCGAGGAAATTTAGGGACAACTCTTTAACGTACACAATTTGTCAGTTTTGATCCATGGATAAAGATTAAAGACCTAGATTATTAGATATTGTGCAAGTCTTGACACATATTCTGTGATGCAAAATATTAAATTTAACAATAAATTTCAGAGCACGCATATAACATAACGAATCAGTGGAACTTTGAACAAAAAAAGAAGAAAACTATGAGTTTCATAGACGGAAAAGTATATAATAATGTACTTGACTATTATATTTCTAAGGTAAGAACGAAGCACCAACTAAAGAGGGTCTTCCTTGAAATTCATGGGATAATGAACTCCAAACTCAACAGAAAAGAGTTTGATCAATAACCAGCGCATTACTGGTCAAGCAGTATATCAAAGTTACAAAGTTCAGGTTGCAGGAAACCTAATCTGTAAAACAAGAAGAAACACAAACTCCAGGAAATTGCGACTTGCTGCTTCCTAAAACAGATCACAACTTTCCGGCTTCAATTAAAATTACTACAAACATTTGCTAAAGTAACGATATTGGTGACCTCAGATTTCTTCGTACAGAAATGATGTCAAGCATCCAATGACCGTCAAAATTAGATCAAATTTTCTCTTTCAAATTCCACTTGCCAGTTTACTGCATCATTATCATCAAAGCATGGTGAATTTCAACTATACAACACTGCAAACCAAGATCTAAGGCTCTTTTCCTGAAAATATACCATACATATTTGTGATGACAAACAGCAAAACAAGATAAATAATAACAAATGATAATCAAATGCTAAATTTAAACAAATCATCAACACATAGGATTTACGTGATTCGACAAATTACTTACTTCACGAACGAGAGGGAAGTTTTATTAACTTTATAGTAGGAGAATATAAGAACCCGGAGGCTCAAGACAAAGTTTATGCCTTTCACTCTATTTCCTTAACAAGACATTAAAGTGTTGTTTGTTAATCGAGAATAAAGTGGTGAGAATAGAAATTGAACTTTTATTCTCACATTGTAGACATGTTTGGTTAAAAAGAATGAAGTGGAAATGGAAATAAAAATTTACACACAACTTCATTCTCACATAATATGTGGGAATAAAAAACAAGGAATGGGAATGAATTTTTTTTTCAAAATAATAATATATTTTATTTATTTATTATCTATTAACTACTTTTACCACCATCACCATTACTACCACCACAATTATCATCATCACCACCATTACAACAACTACAACAACCACCACCATCTCATTACTGTCATCACAACAACCACCACTGCTATTACCACTACTACAACCACCACCACCACTACCACCATTGCAACAATCACAACCACCACCACTATTACTATCACAATTAGCACCACTAATAACATCATCACAATCACCATTACCACTACAACCATTATTATCACAATCATAACCACTACTACCACTACCACTCCCGCAATCATTACCGCCACTACCACCACCACTAGACCCACCACTATCATAATTACAATCACCTTTATTATTTTTACAACCATATAGTTTAATAAAATTATTTTTTTAATTATTATTTTTATTTATATAAAAAATCGGATATTAAAAAATTTTAATTGCATTCCGATTCCTTATTAGTATTCCAAACACGGAATTGGAATACAAATATCATTCGATTCCTTAATTTTCATTCCGATGCTCGCATTCCCATTCCCATCACTTTATTCTTGATTACCAAACGACACATGTTTAAATACTTCATAATTAAAAAAAAAAATACTAATAGACTAAATATATTACCGGCTCATAAAATTCAAGCTCACGAGAATATCTAACCAATTAAGAGAATGCATATGTCCCAATTCCACTAACTAAGCGAAAGATCCAAAAAACAAATACACAAACTAATCAAAACTCACCTTTCGTTGCTTGCACATTTATTTGTTTTTCATTTGCGGAGTGGGGGTGGCATCCACTCGCATCCGAGCGGAGTAATCGAAAACCTTGTGAATACATTAGTGCTTAAATTATGTGTTTTGTTTACTTGAAGGAAAGCATGCAAGTAATCCAAGATGAAGAAAATTACACAAGTTTAAACACTAACAAGAAAATTGACCAGCTTTTATCACTTAACTCTATTGCACACATATTTATAGACAAGCATAAATGCTCATGTACAACATACAAGAGGTGAATTCTAGTCCAAAACAGGTAACTAATGACAAGTTTGATTTGTGAAACAAAAAGAAGTGAATGGTGTCATTGTCCCCATTTTGACAAGATTGAACTAATAATAATTTACACGATGAAAATTACGTCAAACACCTTTCTCGGCTTCAACAACTTCCCTTTGTAAGGAATATCCATCCATCAATTAATTGTAAATAATAACAATAGGCTCCACGCCCATTTCAGTGATCGTTTTTAAAATTCCTTGAACCTCCGAAACCTTGCCTTCTTTATAGATTGTATCAATCAACATGTTGAAGGTAACAATCTTTGGCATGATATTCAAACTCTTCATTTCATTTAGCAATGCCAAGTCTCCTTCCACCACCTGAAATTGCATAAACCTTGGATTAAGGAAGTGTATGTGATTATGTGAAAAAAAGACAAAAAAAAAAAAAAATGCAATGCTGTACTAATAATTAATTTTTGTTTAAAGATTAGTATTTTCAAAGTAAGGGACTAAAGTGTGATTGGAATCAAGTTTGAGGATTCTTTTTGTAATGTTTTATACTATAGAGGCAAAAAAAACAAAGCATCTATCTCTCACTTTGAGGATTCTTTCCTTTTCCTAAGAATTTTTTTCAAAAACCCTTGAGGACTTACCGCTCAGCAGTCCATTCCAAGTTCCACGCTTGGCTCCAGTGAACCAGTTAGAAGGAGAAGAAATCCTGCCTTTCTATCTCCAAATCTCTCTTAGCAAACGCTTGCTCACCAAACCTACCACACTACTAAGGTAAGAAACTGTAAACGAAACTATCTTTCATTCATCTCTAGTGACCTTATCATACTTGAGCTTCTTCTTTTTTTTTTTAGACTCTCTAGCAACCACTACACTTCATTTCTCCTCAAAATAGCGATGACCCATTTGCACAAATTTAGAATTCTCAAATGGGTTTCTTCCAATTTTGTTGGTGGGAACAAAACCTCATTGCCCTTAATGGGGTCGTTATTCTACATTGCAGAAAACCCTAGGTTCTATAGGACGAAGAGAATAGTTCAAATTGAAAATGGGCAAAGCATTAGCCCAATTTCTAGAACAGAAGCCCAGGTTGCATTATTAGAGTATTTGCACGTTACTAGAAACTTACAGTTCATGGATGCAGAGAATATGAGCAAAAATTCACCTCATTTTCTTGAAAAGTTACTAGCAAAGGTTGACGTTGGGCAGTCAGTTACCCGTTTCTTGCATTTTCATCCTATTAATGAATTTGAGCCTTTCTTTGAGAGTTTGGGTCTGAAACCTCATGAGTATAATCCTCTTCTTCCGCGTGATCTGATGTTTTTATGTGATGATGATTTGCTGTTAGAGAACTATCATGTTTTGTGTAATTATGGGGTTGCAAGAAGTAAGTTGGGAAAGATTTATAAGGAAGCGACGGAAGTTTTTCAGTATGATCATGGGGTCTTGGTGCTGAAACTAAAAGCTTACGAGAAATTGGGACTTAGCCAGTCTTTTATGATTAAGTTGGTTGTTTGTAGCCCTTATCTTTTGATTGGAGATGTGAATGTGGACTTCATCAAGGTAGTAGAGATATTGAGAAAACTGGGAGTTGAGATCAGTAGGATTGAAGAGAGTTTGTCAGAGAACTGTTCTTATGACTGGAGCAAGTTGTCTGCACTGCTCAACTTATTTAGGTATGCAGGTTACAATGAAGAGCAGCTAGGTCGACTGGTAAGCCAGCATCTGGGGATTTTCTTTGAGGATTCAGTGAATAGGATATATTTGCTAATAGGCTTCCTCCTCAAATTTGGATCCTCGATGAATCAGATATGTTCCATGTTTTTACAGTTTCCGCAAATGCAGGTTGAGAAATTTGTTTCAAATTTAAGGCATTGCTTTCTGTTCTTGAATGAGATTGAGATGGAGGTACATGAGATTGGGAATATTTTCCGTTCTCACACACTAATGCTGGGTTCATGTAGATTGAAGAAATCCAGCACATTGCGTACAGATTTACGTGCTTCTTATAAGCGAATTCGCGAAGTCATCCGAGAGAACCCACAAGTTTTGAAGAAATGGGTGATGAGATCAAAAGTTGAACCATTGCCAAACATGATACTAAAATCACGGATGCTGAAGACCAAGTTCTTGTTGGACTTGGGAATTGTAGATAAGTCAAATAAAATAGAAAGAGCACTTAAGGTTTTCTTGGGAAGTGGAGCAAAGATCCAAGAGAGATTTGATTGTCTTGTGGAAGCTGGTTTGAGCAGAAAAGATGTTTGTGAAATGATAAAATCATCCCCTGAAATTCTTAGCCAGACGAAGGATGTTCTTGAAACAAAGATTGATTTTCTTGTAAATAAAATGGGCTTTCCTATATCATCTTTGGTCAATTTCTCGTTTTGTCTAAAATTCTCAACGCAGAGAATAGAGCTTAGGCTGACTATGTGTGATTGGCTTAAAGATCAAGGAAAAGCTGATCCCATGCGTTCCTTGAGTACTATCCTTGCTTACTCAGATAAGGTTTTCATTCGAGACTATGTAAACCGTCATCCTAGAGGCCCTGAAATTTGGCAGGATTTGAAGAATCAAATTTATTCCAAATAAAAGCTATGTACCTCATGGGGAACTTGCACTTTCACGGGTTCTGCCTCTGTCACAGGGAAGGGATGAAGATATTTGATTCTGTTCGTCCTGCAGACTGGAAGTATCTATTGATGCTATTGTATTTGCTGCACATTAAAGCCAATACTCCCCTATTTTTCTTACCCAAGATCCAACTCAATCTCAAATTTTCCCATTCACCTATTGCCTTGGAGCATAGTTTTAAATAACGATCGTTGTGTTATATAATGACAGTTATATAACGGTTTTGGAACATCCCGTTATCGTTATTTTAGTATTATAATAAGTCGCAATCTACAATAGCGACCGTGATTATTTTTTCAACCGTCCGCGATTTAAAATTATGTCTTAGAGGACGACCCACAAAAGAAAAACTTCATTGCGGTTGAATACCCTGGTCGGTTTTCCTGAGAGGGGTTTGAATTCTGCTTTCATCTTCAATATTGGAAGGTCTCTTTTTTTCTTCTTTTTTTCAATCCATATCAGTCCTGTTTTACATCTGGGAGGCCCCATTGATTTGTCCACTTTAACAGGCCAACATACAAAATATAACGAAAAATTTACAAGATTATCATATTGTGTTTGATTTGTCCACTTTAGGTTTCTGTTCCTGATTTCAATATTGTTTTGCCATCAAGGGTATAAAGAACCATCCCAAGCACAATCTTCAAACTATTTCATCGATAAAAAATACATATGTAACTGGACATAAAAAAAAATGTTAGTTCCATTGACTAGGAAGAAGTTGTATAAAAACCAGCACATGACTAGTCAAGTAGTATAATCAAAGTTACAAAGTTCAAGTAGCAATCTGTAAAACAAGAACAAATGGAAAGCGTGCTATTAACTTGAACTCATGTTCTGAATTTTTCTTCAATTACACCTTACAGGTTTGACAAAATAATCATGGGTGTAAGGTACAGCAGCAAGAAGTAAATCCAGTAAGTCTTGTTCACTTTGCTAGGTCGAGGCATCAGCATCAGGGCAAACCTGGCTTTTTCGGGCTATAAAAAGTGGAATTTGTGCTTGTGGAAATTATCGAGTAATTGGAGATGAAAATGAAGAACCAAAATTTTGTGAACAATGTGGGGTCGAATTTGTTGATTCTCGAATACGAAGATATCAAGAAACTCCAGATATTTGATATCTTTCTCTTTGAATGAGATCTCAATTCCAGCGACGGTTTCATTAGATATCTTACAACTAGAATCCCTCTTTTTGCCGATCCAGTTCAAGTCTATGTCAGTATTTTTTTTTGTCTTAATGCATTCAAAACAACGAGCTTTCTATATGATCCCTCTAGATGGTGGGAGGGGAATTTTAGGCATCAGCATCGGGGCAAACCTGGCTGGAAACCAACTTTCTCCTATTTTATTTTTCTAGAAAAATTAGCAACAAAGGATCTTCATGAGAAAATTGTTTGCAACACATCATTCACAACATGGTGAATTTCAATTGTACAACACTGCAAACCAAGAGCTAAGGCTCTTTTCCTGAGAATATACCATACATATCCAAGTTCCAACCAAGAGAATGCATATAACCCAATTCCACTAACAGACGAAAAGATCCAAAAACCAAAAACAAAAACACAAACTAATCAAAACCCACCATTGCAGCTTGCATATTTATTTGTTTTTCCTTTGCAGGATTGGGAGTAGCATCCAGCTGCATCCAGGAACAGTAATTGAGAACCTTGCAAATACAATAGTGCTTAAATTATGTGTCTGGTTTGCTTGAAGAAAAGCGTGCAAGTATCCAAGATGACGAACGTTTTGTGCAAGTTTAATCACTAATAAGAAAATTGAATAGTTTTTACCATTTAACTCTATTGCACACATATTTACAGACAAGCATAAATGTGCATGTATAACCCACAAGAGGTGAATTCTAGTCCAAAACAGGTTATTAATGACTATTTTGATTTTTGAAACAAAAGCAAGTGAATGGTGTCATCGTCCCCATTTTGACAGGATTGAACTAACAATAACTTACACAGTGAAAAAAAAGCTACTCAATATTTGCCAAATGAAGTGGGAGTTGTTTGGGAAGAGTAATAAAGTTGTTGGAGAAGGCATAGCCATTTTCATTTGGCAGAGAAAATGAAATCCAATAAAAGCTGCTGCACCTCGAGATGATGAAGAAGAAGCAGCAGGGACCAAAAAGCTTTCTCGTTTCATTGCCATCCTCACCATCGATTTTTCTGTGTTTTTCAAATTTCATCTTTTAGGTTAGGTTCTTTTTTCTTTGCAAAACTGACCAAAAGTGCCGACACTCTCTTCAGTCACTTCATCTTTGGGCCTATTTGGATAATCCAAACTCTTTCGTTTTATAACCTCCATAGAATAATTTATGGATACTTAATAGTGAATATATAAAAATAAGAAATTAAAAATTTACAGCAAAACTAGAAAACAATGATACGGTTTCTCATCTCCTTCTACTCTAGATGGATGGACGGCATTTTCTCTGCAGAAAAAAGTACATAAAATTTTTATACAACCATGCAAAACTTGCGATGGTTCCTGCAGCTTTTTTTGAGCTACGGCAACGATGCATACAAAGTAAATTAAGATTTGGGTGAAGCTAAAAGCAAGTTTCACTCAAAAACAGGTACATTATTACAAAATTTCACTATCAAGAATTACCAACAAATAATAATATAAAACAATTGGTTAGCAAATTTCTGCAGTAACAAAGCCTATGTTCTGCATAATTTTAATGAACAATGAAATCACAAATAATTGACCAGAAGAATGGATTGTTCGCATTCCTTGCCAGAGGTATCTTGAAGACTTCTCAAAGGTATGCACTTGGGGTGTGAACAATCATTGTGTTAGTTTACGGCATTTGTTTACAGTTGATGATTCATCTTTCTTCTAGCGTTGACATTCTGGGAGACGACAACTTTGCAGCTTCACATTTGCAAGTTGAATCATAAGTTCTATTTACCGATTTTCTTTCAGTCCCCGACTGACTCATTGCTAGGGCGGTCTCTCCTAATCATGTCGGTTAGATCCTGGACAACCTCAGACATTTGTGGCCTGAATTCGGGTTCGGACTGCAAGGTAACCTTGATGTCAGGCAAAGCTAATCGTATATTTGATAGAAAACAAAATCTTGGACTAAGACTAGATGACATCTACTTGTTAATAATGTAGCAAGTCTTCAAGAAAATCATAAAGAAACCAAAGATGTAATTCTCACCTGAACACAACGAGAAATGATATCGGCGAAGTTTGATAAAGATTTAGCAGAGTATTCTCCATTAAGTGAGGGATCAACCATCTTTGACAATGTGTCGATGTCATGGAGCTGGGGGATTGCCCATCTCACCAGAAATTGTTCACCCCGATTCCGTGTCCTATGCAATATTTGAAAAAAGGACATTATTAAATAAACAACTATTTGTACAGGATAACGAACACAACATGCTTTTGCATCTTTACCTGTCATGGGACTTCCGGCCTGTTAAGAGTTCCAGCATGACCACACCAAAGCTGTAAACATCACTCTGGATAGTATAAATTCCTGATTCAAATTCTGGAGCCCCGTAACCATAGGCCGTTAGCAGCTGGCCTGACAACTGAAAATAAGGGGAATAATTTTAGAAAAGTGGACATGGAAACAAAAGGCTATATACATCCTTCTATCAACATAAGTACTTTTTCCTAATACTGAAAGAAGTTTAATCAAATCTAACAAGTCGGAAAGTTGACTCCCAAGACAGTTCATATTTCAACCTGTTCCACTGCCTGATTGTATGATCATGAATTACCTGACTTACGGACCCTGATGATATTAATGGAGCCAAACCACAATCAGAGACACGCACATCAAGATCTTCATCAAGAAGAACATTGGCAGACTTAAAATTTCTGTGTATGACAGGTGGCTGACAGACCTCGTGCAAATACCTTCACACACACAATGAAAAATCAGTATGCAAAGGGCGAAAAAAAGCATACCTCCCACCGTCACCCCATAGAAATACTTTTGTGAACTGTTGGCTATTTTATAGCCCTAAATCTACAAATCATTTCTAGCATATTGGACAATCTAATTATATTTTTAAAACCGAAATAGCAACTGGAGACTTAAATTAGTCAGCTATTCAAATCTCTCTCTATCCACACATGCGCACACACTCTTTGTATTCGTGTTTCTTACTAGTTGAGTTACTTTTTCCAAGGGCAGGTGGTTCTAGCTCAGTGGCTGGTTCACTTACTCTAAGGCTCTAGCAGCTCCAAGTGCCATCCTAATGCGGGCATTCCAGGAAATTTTCTTTTTAAATTCATCATCTGAGTGTAGTGCATCTTGCAAAGATCCATTACTGCAATACTCATAGATCAGAAGCCTTTGGCCATGCTCTGAACAGTAACCCATGAGCTCAACAACATTAGCATGTCGGATCCGATCAATATTGTTAACCAATTCAATAAACTCATGGTCCTTCTGCTGCTCCGCAGTCCTTTTATCCAGTTTCTTAACAGCAAGAAGCTACAAAGACAACCAAATACATCAAATGTCAGAAGCCAAAGACATTCTGCTATATGTTTCTTTTTACAACAAAATTGAACTGCTTGATCAGATAGATGGGAGTCATGGGACAATATAAGAGAGAGGTTGGCAATAAGAGTACTTAAACAGCCTTAAGTTGTAACCTTTTAAAGATCATTGATATATTTTGTTTAGGGATTTAAAAATCAGTGTTTTGGACTGTTGAAGAAAGGAGAACACAGGGAAACTGATTAAAAAGTAAGTACTTGAGAGAGAAAAGGAACAAACTATGAAGATAACTAACAAAATTAACATAACAAAACAGCCAGTCTCCAGATAGAATATTCTGGCTCATGATTTCCTTAAAAAAATTGCCACAAATAACAGCAATCATAGTAAAAGATCATACCTTTCCATCAGGAAGTTGCGCCCTATAAACACTTCCCAGCATGCCTCCTCCTATAAGATTTTCTTGAGAAAAGCTGTTTGTATATTGCTGAAGTGATGCAATGGTGAACGACCTGGCAGAAGTGAAGGGGATCTGAGTCTTACGAGAAGGCTTCCCTGAGCTTGCTTCAGCAGGCACAATTGGCTTAACAATGACATTCTCAACAGGGGGTGGAGGAGGAGGAGGAGGTGGTGGAGGTGGAGGTGGAGGCGGAGGTGGAGGCGGAGGTGCCATGAAATCTATATCTAGTCTGCCAATGTCTATTGAGTGATCGTCCCGCTTTGGTGTTGGGTTCATTTTGGGTTCATTTCTCTTATGCACATTTTGCGGCTTTGGATGGTCCTCTTTGGGCTGCTTGACGGTCTCCTTCGGAACTGTTAGCAAAATTTTAGAACATGTTAGCAATCAAAAGAATTGAAATCTTGTATGGAAGCAGATGACTTAAGTTAAAGGCCGTTTGCCTTTTTCAATTTGTTTAGTTGGTTGGACCATGGATCCATTGTCCCTCGGGTTCTCTCTGTTCCCTCTATCAGCGATAACTTGATGCCGCTTGAAAATTCTGCTGGCCTCCTCCCTTCTCTTGCTAAACCTTGGAATAAAAAGCACAAGTGCTAATGCCAGTATTACAAACAACAACACACCTGCAATGGATATCCAAACTACTCTTTTACTAGTGAGAAATTTTTTTCCTCCAGAGTTCGATTCCACTGATGAAGACGGCCCATCAGCCTGCTTCCCAGGTGTTTTCCGAGAAGACGGCGATGGTGGAGCCCCAGAAACTGGTGGTGTTGGCGGAAGTGGTGGTGGTGGTGGTGTTGGTGGGAGTGGTGGTGTTGATAGGGATGGGGATGTGGGTGAAGGTAATGGAGCAGAGGAAGTATTGAAAGGATTGCCATCTTTTCTGCAACAAGTACACAATATTAGCAAACAAATGAGTGAAGCAATGACTAAATTTTCCAAACTACATAGAACAGCGCTTCCTGTTCACTTTAAACAACATATTGAACAGTTCTATAAACTTAGATACCAAACAGAGTAGACTGCAAGTACAAGTAAATGCCTCCATCAAGGCTAGTTGAAGAATATTTGAATTAATTGCTGGTAGTAGCCATAACATAAGCATATGGTGTTATTAAGTTGCTACATCAGAATGTGGAGATCCGAAAGTCCCCATTGAATGATTTCCATACAATTGTCAAGATTTAATTGCGCACATTGCGATCAGTAATGCTCAGACAGCTTGTGCAAATTTCTAATTGGCATTCAAGAAATTATTCAGCTCCAATTGCTGTAAGGTATAAATATGTCTACACAATTATGTGCTTCACCTCATTTAGCACCTACAAAGGATTGCAGGTTTCTTCACACATATATTATCTCCAGATAAAAATCCCGCTTAAAAAAATCTATGATAGACCCCATCAAGAAACATGATCAGTCTTTAACTGTTTGAACACATCAACCTGATATGATTTCCATGACCTGATAGTTTTAAGGGACGCTGCATTTGGTTGCTCATACTCTGGTAACTATAACGCAATGGAAATGCATAAATCATCTTCAACATCCTCGACTAATCTACTCACAGATTTAACCTTGATGGAGATTTCATACAGCTGTCAAGAACTATTAAATACCAGAAATTTCCTAAATTGGGGAACAAGATATATCATTGGCATAAATATTCATCATTTCAAGTCATCCTGACAGCATAATTCATATAGATACATGAATGCTCTTGAAAAACATCAAAATCTATTTTAACTGAAATAAATTTTGACCTGAAATTTGGGATGGCCAGCAGCTTGTCAGGTATGGGTCCTGAGAACAGGTTATTCTCTATATTCCTGTTTTACAATGGGCAAAAGGACCAAAGGTAAGGCAAAGAATCATTCTACAAACTTCAGGACACAAAAACTAGGCAACGAAAATATCTGAAATGGTAAAAAAATAAGTAGTAATAATTAATATTGAAAGACACGTGGTTGGGAATAGTACAAATCGCTCAGGGGCAGATCTTGTAGAACATCAAGGGTCCCAGACAGCTGATTGTTCTGCAATCGTCTGCCAACTAAGTGGTTAGCATCATTAATGCAAATGAAGTCATTGCAATATGAAAGGAGACGCTGTAACAACTTACAGGGTTGTAATACTAGTCAAACCTACGAAAGAAGGAGGCAACTGCCCACTCAGATTGTTATTGGACAAGTCTCTGCCAAAAACTCAGTTAGTTACATTTATTATAAAGCAACTTTAACAAAACTGGAAAAGTAATCAACTTTGAGGGAAAAAACCTACAAGTTGATCAACCCTGGAAAAGATTGAAAGGCATCTGGTATTTCTCCACTTAAAAAATTATCGTTAAGAGACCTGCAAGGTATACAAAGCATGGATAAAAGCATTACAAAACTGAGACAAATTAGGCATCAATACCAGCAAAAGAGGAGCCGAAATTTACATGGCTGACAATAGAGTTAAGGATGATAGAGAATCTGGGATGCTTCCAGTGAAGTTATTGTCTGCAAGGAAACTGTCAAAGGTAAAGACTATCATAAGCTGTCGTCTAAAAAGGTACCCAGAACAGATATATGAAATGAAGAAACATATAGACCATCTCATGTAAAGGGCAAGCATACAAGGTTTGCAAGGTTACAGGCAGACTGGAAGGTATACTCCCCCTATGTGGTTGTTGCTCAGATCTCTGAAAAAAAAAATTAAAGAAAAGGAAAACAGCAAAACAATTAATGTCAGCATCCATATAACAAGGAAGTTTATTGCCAAATATTCCAAGAAATGAAATTTATGTACTTTGATTATAGTTCGTCCCAGTTTTGTCTAATGTGAAGCACCCAATTAGAAATTCAAACATGGGGTATCGGGAAATTTAGACCATTCATTTAACAGTAGATAAATAACAATTAGCAGGTCCTGTAAAGTAGTTAATGATCTTCAGAATGATGTTCCATATCAATGCACCACGAACTCAAAACAATGCAGTGCCTTCCAAGTTAGCAATTAAGCAACTCTGTCTCGCTTTCTAAAAGCCCCTAGCTACCAGAGACAGGAGGAGGGGAGGGATTGAGAGACTAACACTTACATTGATCTGATAGAAGCAAACATTCCCAGGTTTTCACCAAGTTCTCCTCGCAAATTTGCACCATTAAGAATTCTGTAAGACAGCACATTTTAGGAGGGAAAAAAAATCATTACACAGCTTTACATTATCGGCACCGACAAATGGCAATCAACATGAAGAGACCAAAGCAGGGTTCCATACATGGATTGTATTTCTGAAACATTACATACAATGCCTTGCCACCCTTCGCCGCATGGATCCCCCCAACGCCGACCCACCCAGGCAGTAAAGGAGAGCCCAGTGAAATGTATAAGCTATTAATTGCAGTAACTAATTCAATCAAAACAATGCAGGTGATAAGATTCAAAGCTCCATGTACTATAAAACAAAATTAGCAAGCAACACTAAATCCACACGCAAGCACGCACACACGCAAATATGAAAATAAATCATCACAAAAGCATAAACAGAACACAGGCCAGATACATTTCCAGCACAAAATTATTCACTAATTACTAGTAATCTTTACTTTTTCTTCCTCATTAAAAAATAAATTAAACCGCAGAAAGTTTACAAAACCAACCAAGCATTTTTTCCACCTAGGTGTGATAGGATATATCATTTTACTTAAAACTAATAACTTTACTTTCATATCCCACATTTTCTCACCAACCAAACGGCAGAAAGAAAACCTAAAAAAAGAAAGAGCAAAAAAAAAAACGAAGTCAAGCTTAATTACCATCACTTGGATTAGTAACTCCAACTGAATTTCTTGCTGTGCAGATCAAAACCAACCCAATAAGGAACTTTCTATAGATCTCCAAATTCAAGCACTCCCCTTTACCAGATCTCTTTACTCCCATTGAATCTCTCAAACTCAATTATCTCTTTTTTCTCTACACCACCAACCATAAACCCACTTTCCAATCTGGGAAAAAAAAAAAAAAAACAACCAAACCCCACAAAAGAAAACCACAAAAACACACGGTTAGTGATCTTACCAAAGCTCAAGAATCCAAAACGTAAAAACCCAACAACAAAAAACTTACAAAAAAACCAGTAGTGAGCACCTAAAATAAAAAAACACAAACTTGACAGATGTCAAGTGTCAAGCTCAAATGAAGCAAATTGCTGTCATTAACAAATGAAAGAAAGTTTCTTTTTTACTTTTTGAGGCTCTTCTTAAAAGTAGAGAAGAGAAACTTAAGTCCTAAGATTAATGAATTAAGGGATACAGAGAGCAAGAAATAGACGTAAGCAGATATTACATCACATTTTTTTATGTAACCAAACAAACAAACAAAAAAAAGAAAAGAAACTTACTTCGGTAAAGAACAGTAAAGAAAGTTGCAGAAAGAGAGAGTTTTAACCAGAAAATGTGGAGGAAAAAAATGTACATACAGAGAGAGAGGGAGAGATAGAGAGGCTTTTTTTTTTCTTTTGCTTTCTTTGCTTTGTTTTGTTTACTTGTTTTTCTCTCTCTTAAAACTATAGATTAGACAAGTAGCAGCTGTTGTAGTACTGTGTTTAAGTTGAAGTTGAAACAGTGTGTGTGCATGTTTTGAGTGCAAGTCATGTTAATCTTCTTGGAATTAATTAATGGTCTCTTTAATCCTCTTATTCTCAGTTTTATATTATTTTGGTACACATACTTTTTTGGCTCTAATATCATCCCTCTATTTCTAATTTTTTTTTTTAGATTCAGATCATTTCATGTTCGTTACTCTCATATTCAGTAATGTTTGTTAAATCTAAATAATCAAATGCTAATCTTAAAGAGGATGATTGATAGGTTAAAAAAGTTTGTTCTTTTATTGACTTATTGAATAAGATTGCCTTTTAGAAAAACTTATTTTTTCTAGATATATTGTATTAATGTAGAAAGTATATTTTAAAATCACTCAAGAAGCAAATTTAGACTTATTTAATGAGTATATTTAATTGAGAATATCTTTACTATTAGAAAAAAAAATTAAATAAACATAATTTGTGGGATATGTTAAAATATTAAAATGTTAACTATTTTTTTCATTGAATTTCAATTATAAAATGAATAAAATGGTTGGTTATTTTTTTTCATCGAAATTTAGAAAGAGTAAGAATACAATTTTTATAATTATTTTATTCTTTCATCTGTATAGTTAAACAAAATGTTAGATTTCATGTTACGTGTCATGCGTCCTATAAAATTTTTTCTACATGGCCAGATTTAATATGATTTCTTGGTTTTTTTTTTTTTTTTGGGTGGGGGGTTCATAGTTGACAAAAAAAAACCAAGAAATTGCATAAATAAACAAAGTAAGGGTGATATTGAAACAAATAATAGTAGAGAGATCAAATTGAGATTAGAAGAACCAAATGTACATTAACCGTTTCTTGGGTGGTAAATAGAGCTATTGACAAGGCATCGATGTACTGGGATCACGCGCTTCCACTGGCGCGTGAATGAGTGTGTTTCCGTTTATTGAGCTCGGAAGCGAAGGTGGTGCTTAAGTGCTTTATGATTGTAGTGAAAATCCCAAAAAAAAAAAAAAAAAAAAAAGGGTAGGTTGTATAGATCAGTCTATTTTTAGTCTTGATGTGGACAATAGGTAGGGTTCTAATTAATGTAAGAGAATTTGATTCTCCTTTGTCTATTGTCTATGGAGAAAAATAGAGATTTTCTTTTGATGAAAAAAGATTTGATGACTAACCAAATATAGTATTAATATATTAAATTCTAATTGTAATTTTACTTGTACACGAGTGAAAATCCTACTATTTTCTTGAAAAAAATGAAAAATACTTCCACCTCCACTAATCTATTACTTGTTAATTTATCTATATATAAATATTAATATCATGTGTTAAATATCATTTATGAACATACTAATATTTATTCAAAACAATATATGAGTCGTAATGTATTAATTAGACATTGTTTGGATCAACACTTGAACTATAAGATTAATCGGTGTTTCGATAAAATTATTCAAAATATGATAACGTATTAATATCAACCTTTAAAATTAAAGTTTGAAATATAATCATTAATGAAATTTAAAAAAAAAAAGTTAATTCAACAGCTATTTTATCTTAATGGATTTTCAAGTCCAACGCAATTGTTTATTATAATATGATATATCATGAAATTTTAAGTCTTTTATATTCTTTTCTTTTAGAAAATAGATATCCGTATAAGTTAAAGAAACATTGTGTTTTTTTTTTAATTATAGACATTTAAAAAAATCTTCAAATTTATATATTAAAAATAAAGTTTTAAATATTTTTACAAAAAGAAGTAGTCAAATTATACATAGTATTTTCGAACTTTAAACACATTTATTTAATAAGTTTTTTTATATTTCATGTAATTTATTTTAATATTAAGTTGGAATTTCTTGCTTTAAATGATGACGCCTGAATGTTAGGAGAATCGTAATTTAATTTCAATTACTACTAAAATCTAAGTTACAAAATAAATTCCTTAAAAAAAAAGAGGGTATGGGAAATTCATCTTCTGATATTTTCTCTTTAATTATTCACGAGTGTTAGTCACGTTCTGCCACTGCGCGTATTGATGCACTCAACGGAAAGAGATTCAAAATGGGAATGAAATACGTAGGTAGTAATTGTCAATATTAGCCGTCAGTTTTTCCATGGGCGTCACGTGCGCTGTCGAATTATATATTTATATATATATCTATCGTTTCGACAAACTTTAGAGATTTATTTATCTTTTTCTTATAACTTCTATCTTTTTATTAATTTTATGGTTATCAAATATTACATTAAATCTCTAGTTTTTTTTTAATAATTCTGATTATTTATGTTTTTTCATAATTTTTTAAAGATTTATTTAATTGCAGGTAGTGTGCAATTCTTTTGTTCATTTTTTTAATTATAAGTAGTGCTAATCTATTAATTTGTTGAATTAAATATATAATTTTTATTTATTAAAAATAAATATTAACGAGTAATCTAACAATAATTTAAGCTTTTTAATTTTATTATTGTGCAATTATGCGTAGGTTACTCCGATTTGGTTTTACGTGTGGAAGATAAACAGTATTTCGAATTTATTAAATGTAACGAGTTTGTAATTTAATTAACATTTATATCTTGTTTTTTTAAAAAAAGAACAACTTCGAACATTTTTTTGGTACATAAAATAAATTAAAAAATTGAAAATCTTATTAAAAATATCCCGATAAATAAAATCATAGGTTTGTGTGATTTTATAACTCAAACTAGATTGTTTATTATTAATATTATTATTATGACAAATAGAGCTAATGTTTAATCACTAAGCCAACCATACATTTAATAGCTATTATCACGTTGAAATATTATTATTGACAAAACTTTTAAATTCTCATTTCATGTTTTTGCCCAATTATGATTGCTTCATAAAAATTATTATTATTATTATTTCCAGAAAGTTATTGGTTTGGGTGCACCTCACTGTTATTTATTTTGTCTTTACACGTTTTGTCGTCCTAACAAAGAAGGTTGTGTTTGATTAGGAGACGAGTCTTACGCAGCAATTCTATCCATTCTAACCAAAACTTACTAGGAGTTGGTATTTTTTATTTATTATTATTATTTTTTTTATTGAGAATAAAAGCCTTAGGGATTTAAGAGACTAGACAAGTCAAGGTCTCCAACCTTTGTTGGGTGACAAGACGAGGTCTAACTCGATACAATTTACTCTAAAGGCATGGAAACCCCCTCCACGTTTTTCAAATATTAAGACTAAATTTGTTTTTGATTGAGTTCCAAGTCAAGGTCTAACTCGATATAATTTCTTCTAAATGCAAGGAAACTCCCTCCACGTTTTCCAAATATTAAGATTAAATTTGTTTTTTATTGAGTATTAATCATACTATCTACATTAAATGGGTGTGTTCATGGAAAAAAAAAATCAGGGTAGGGATTCAGTCTTTTTTATATAATATAGTCCATATCTAATTTTTTTTTGTATTTTAAAATGAATCAATCATATTTATGTATTTTAGTTAAGTTTGCAGTTTGTTAATCTAGTGAATTTTTTGATCAAATCATAAAAAAAAATCACCTGACTTGCATATGATTAATTTAAAAAAAAAACAATACTCCTCAATTGAAAGTGTACGAGTCACGTTTTTAGAAACATTTTTTATAAAAATTAGTTATGGACAGATCATATGACTTTTTCTAATAGTTTGCTGGAAAGATTCCCATAAATGACAAATTAAAAATTTATTTGAAATACATAAATATAATTGACTTATTTGAATAGATTAAGCTCTTGTATCGTTGTATAAAACATATCATATCATTTTCTCTTTTTTTCGCTTTTTTATAAACTTTCTAATAACTGGAATCACGAAGAACATTAATAATGTAAGAAAAATGCTACTTGCCAACCAAATTAAAGGGTTCAAAAACTTAAATTAAAATAACACTAGAAGCAAATTTACATGTGAATTGTATTATTGTCACGAGGGGACGGCATGAGTGATAGCTACCAAACAAACAATAATTCAAGGAAGCAACTCTATGATCAACCTAGAGGTACTATTTTTCTTCTTTGCTTTGGTATTCCTAGACAAAGTGCATGAAAATGAGAGACGTGGGGTAATTATCATTGAAAAAAGTGATGAAATATGGTTGCAGAAGGACACGATAGGTTTTTGATGTTTGGAAAAAGAAAAAAGCATGAACAGAAGAGTCCTAATTCTCAACCCGCTCCATTACAATCTCCACAATTAGCCATCAAGGAATAAAGTTTGTGCTTTATTTTTTGGATCAATACCCTCATTCATCCTTATACAATAAATTAAAATTTTTCAAGCTATTCCTACATTTTAAAATAGCTCTAATCTGTTTTGATTTTTTATCTAGTTTCTAATTTATTATTTTAGTTAAAATTTTTGTTCAATTTACCATAAAATAAATATATGATTTGACAAAATTATCTTTGTTATTTGATACAAATGATTTATATCTATTAATGTAAAGATTAATTTTTTGACGAATTAATCGAAAATTTTAACCATAAAGATAGATTAAAAACCAACACAAATAAAAAAAGATTAAGAGTGTTTTAAAATATAGGAGAGGATAGAAAAATTAACTTATTGTATAAGGAGAGGTGATGTTATTAACATTTATTTTGTACAAGAACATGAACTATTAGGGACATAAAAGATTAAATTTGTTTTTTGGTAAAATAAAATGTATAATTTCTTTTAATACTTCAGGATATTTTTTATCGATTTTGATGCATGGAGATTAATTTTTTTTTATTGAATACTTTTTGGATTATATATATATATATATATATATATATATATATATATATATATATATATATATATAATTTTAGATTGATAATAGCGGTTGGATTTTTTGAATCAACCAATAGTTTTTGTTAAGTGCTATATAAAAAAAACGAGAGAAGATCTTTTCAAATATGAAAATCGAATTCTATTCGTTGTCAAACAAAGAAGAAAGAAGAATTTTTTAAAGGAACATAATAAATCAAAATAATTTTTTTACCACTCTACTTATAATTTTTGGTGATTGATTGCATCTTGAATAAATAATTTGTATTTAAACAAATACATTTATTAATGGATTTTTCTTGTATTTTTTAAACAAAAATACCCCAACCTAAATTAAAATCCAATCACCCATAACAGAATAGAAATAAAAACATCTCAATTTGTAATTTTTTTGATATCTTCTTCTAGCTTCCATTTCTAAAATTGGACTTTACTTTTTTTTTTTTTCTTCTTCATGCTATCACCATGAAATTACCTTTATTTGCTTGCACGCCTTGAACAAGCCCTGAAAAATCGCGTGGGGGTGAGGGGCGACTGCTTCTTTGTAACTTGCAAGTGATTTGTTGCTTTTCTTTCATAGTCAAGTAATGCCCAGCAAAAGGAAGATCCAGTTGGGGCTAAGGACCGTTACGGCACCGTTTGTCGTTACGTAGGAAAATTCCAAGTAAGAAAGAAAAGCTACTTTTGCAAAAGCAATTTTTTTCTTTTTCTCTCTATCAACGGGCAAAAAGAAGAAAGTGTTGAAAAATTTGTAAATTAAAAAAAGGCCAACGGTCTTTATCCCTTTATCCTTATTGGAGCCCTAGCAAACCTGTCATTTATCAAGAATCTACGTGACAGTCACCGACCGTTTCAAGAGTAGCGACTCTAAGCCAACCTTGTTATTATTATAAAACGACTTGACTTAGCCATTTCTTAATAATAAATAGTTAGTTATTTGAATGTAAGAGAAGTGTAATATAAAATATAGATTCAAATTCTATGGATTTTTTTAATTAATGGATGTGCACATAATTGTTTTTAGTGGGATTTAAATTTTATTTTAAGATATAGAAATAAGCATGAATAATGGATTTAATCTCAATTAAAAAAAACCATCGAAAATCATAAATAAAGTGATAAAAAGAATGTTTTTGATTTAGATAAGGAGTTTGATTTCGACTCTTTCTTTTGTATGACAGTAGACATACATTGAGTTTTTTACTCGACAATAATCCAATTTTTAAAATCGATTAAAAAACAAAATTGATTTGACAATGACCGAATATAAAAAATAATGATCTAAACAAAATTGATTTGACAATGACTAAATATAAAAAATAATGATTTAATCTTGAATATATATATGTATGTGTGTAAACTTCATGTCTATACGAGTAAAATACAAAAAGATATTCATATTATTGTTTTTTTAGTGAATCAAATCTCAATTATATAAAATAATAAAAAAGAATTGAAAAAAAAACTGTGATTAACCCAAAGAATATTCCTTTTCATTTTATAATTTCAAAAAAAAAGAAGCAAGCATAAAATGAGGGAATAGTTTTACACTCACTAATTTACATATTTTATTTTCTCATTAAAGCTAGGGCAAAAAAGGTAAACCACATTGATATTTCTCTTTGTCAATATCCAAAGAAAAAAAGAACATACCGAATTTAATATTTGACATGCATTTGACCCAAAAAAATTGACATGAAAATAATAAATATAAACGAATCCAATCAAAATTTTATCAAAAAAGAACTCAATGAAAAGGGCACTTGTGGCAATCACAAAAGAAAGACAAAGATAGCAACATTAATGGGGTTTAGCGATTAACAAGTACGTACTGTGCTAAGTCACTCTCACCAGGACCAGGAAACATTTTGGATATTATTTAGTAGACTGGCTGTTGTGTTTTCAAATTTTCTCAAGACCATGACCTCTCAAAAAACAAAAAAACAAAAATGTTTTAAACAATCATAATCATGCATCCATAAACCTGTTTATTAAACCACGCTAGGTTTTGAATTTCTTATAGATTGTGACCACTATGAAATCGAAGAGTTATTTCTCTATAAAAACTCGACACTCGTAAAATAAAATTCATAAATAGTTAAAATAATTTTTTAGGGTTTTGTCTAGATAGCACGTGGATTTATTCTTTTTTTAAAAATGCAAGAATTAATTTTTTAAAAGTTTACTGATTAAATCTACGTGATTTATGTCTAAATCCATGAATAAATATTTAATTTGTCAATACATAAAAATTGATTCGAGAATATTTTTGTAAATTCATATCTTCACATGTTTTTATACAATAGACAATTTTTCCAATCTGTCATTATAAAAACAATTCCAATCAGTCCTTATATTTTGAATTGATTTTTAATGTATGTTTTTAGTTAATTTCTTTTGCTAAATTAAGTCAAATTAAGCATGTGATTTGCACATAATATATGATTTGACAAAATTATATTTGTTATTTGATCAAAAATTTTGATCGAAATGATAGATTATAAACCAACTTAAAATATAAAGATAGATTAGATGTAATTTTTTTAGTAACAGATTGAAAAATTATCTTATTATATAATAATATGTGAGGATATTAACCCTATTTTCATTGTTAAAATTTTAAAAATTAGATAATCATGAATCTAGAATTAAAAAAAAAAAAAAAACTGCAAGAATAGATTTTTTTAAAAGTGCATTGATTAAATCTACGTGATTTATATCAAAATTTAGAAAAAAAATATTTAATTTGTCAATACATAAAAATTGATTCGAGAATATTTTTGTGAGTTAATATCTTCACATGTTCTTATACAATAGATTATTTTTCTAATCTGTCTCTAAAAAAACGTTTCTAATCTATCCTTACATTTTGAATTGATTTATAATATATCTATTTAGTTAAAAGTTTTGACTAAATTAAATTAAATTAAACATGTGATTTGCATATAGTATGTGATTTGATAAAATTATTTTTATTATTTAGTTGAAAATTTTGATCAGATAAATTAGAAACTATCTAAAAATATAAAAATATTTTTGTTGGAACAAATTGAATATTAACTTATTATATAAGGATATATAAGAGTATTAACTCTATTTTCACCGTTAAATTTTAAATTTTAGATAATCATGAGTCCATAATTTTTATTTTTATTTTTATTTTTATTTATTTATTTATTTATTTTTGTCTATTTTCCATTCAAAATAAAATTTTGTGCAGGATCTGAATTTTGTAATGAGATGTCTATGGTGGAGCACCACTCGCTTGGGTCCTCTTGTTCGTTTATGGCCCAATTGATTGGCTCTCTTGAAGAAGACAAATAAACGTCCTGTCTTGAATTGACATGTTTATTGGCTTTATTTTTTTCCCAACTAGATAGGGTACAAAATACTTTATGTTACAGATATGGTTGTTTATTTATTTATTTATGAAAAAGCCTTTGAAGCATATAGCAGAATGGCATCATTTTATATGCAGATGCCTGAGTCTGAATGCAATAACTTTTTCTTCTTCCCGTCTCTATCTTGTTTTTGTTGGGAAAATTTGCAATTGAAAAGTCACTTTTTCTACACATGAATCTACACATGCAAATCCTTATATATAAAAATCGACACCATTTTAATTTAATTATAGATATATCTTTATATAAGTATTTTAAAATTTTTTATTATCGTTTAGCTACCCATAATCGAGGAGTTATTCAAAAATTGTAGATAATAATAGACATCATTTTAACCTGAAAGTCCGTGATAATGGATCTTGGGTTCATTTTATATATAAATACATCAAATTTTTTATTTTTAATTGATATGAGATTTTTCACTTACACGTAAAACTCAAATGTTTTAATAACTATATTTATTATTATTATTATGTTAATATTATCTTAATGTATTTCAGAATCGAATTGAAAGAGTTCATAATAATAATAAAAAAGTTAGCATATGAATATAATGCTTAAAATTTAATTGGGAATAGAGTAACTTGCAAATATTTAACTTTGAAACCAAGAAAAAAAACGAATTGATGCTCAAATAATGTAATGAATTATTTTAGGTACCATGTATTATAAAATGAGTCAAGTAAGAAGATAAAAAACAAAAATAATTAAACAATATAAAAGTTTATATGATTCGACGTGTTGGTTATACGTAAAATATTAAATAACAGATCGTATTCATATAAGTTTTACAACTTAACCATGTTCATATCAGTTTTTACGTCTTAATACGATATTAAGAAATTATATAAATAAAAAATAGTTTTTGAGTGATTTTGATGGTAAGTATAATAGAACATAATTAATTTAAGAGGCCACACATAATAAATATATATGATTTTGATGGTAAGAAATTGATATTTATACAGAATCACGATATTCTTGAATAAGAAAATTTGAACCACTAGATGGATGCAACATGGGGCCATAGCTCTCTGGCTGGTAGGGCAGAGCTCTGGCTCATTTAGGTCTCACCAAGCTGGCGTTGCCATAGATAATAACATCATAAAGTCCAACCTAACATGCTACTATAGTTTGCAGGTCCTTGTCAATTTCTTCATGGTTCGTAATTAACACCATTAACTGAATTCTATTGGCACCAGTCGCATTCTTAATTAAAGCTTGCACTGCCTCATCCTTCATATGACATGACTTGATAATTTTAGGAGGTTAGCTATTCCTTTGGTTAGATAGGATGCATTCTAGATATCCCTTTCAAGAAAATCATATCCATGCCATGCAATAGTATTATCTAACTGTATATTCATTTACGAATTAATGACTTAATCGAAGGTAATTCTTTAATATATTATTATTTTCATAATTGAACCAATTTTATTCTTTGATATATGTTGAATTTGTAACATATTTGACAAGATTTTCAAATCAAACAATTTGAACTAATCAATGTAATTTGTACGTGATTATTTTTTATTTTCAAAATGTATTTGTAAGCGAGGCAAATGGAAGACATTAATATGTGAATCACGTGACTAAATTCGATGGTATAACATGAAAATTTTACTAAAATGAGAGATTATAGACTTAACGTATGTTAAAAAATAAAATTAATTCAATTAAAAATATAAAAACATATTATAGAATGATCCAATTAAATAAAGATATATTAAAAAATGATCGGACAATTGAGTCACGAATCCTTCATTTATATTTAAAAAAAAATTAATATCATCTGGCTCATTTAATTATGAAAGAGTTCGAATGATTTGAGGCAGAAAAACACAAATACATATGTAAAAACTAATTTAAGTATAGTATAATAGCTAAACATAAAGAAATATTACATATCTACCAAAATTAGCAAGAAATAGAATGGTTTTAGAAAATTTTATTCTAAGAATTTCAAGTGCAATTCCTTTCTTTGTGAAATTATATATATATATATATATAAGAGATTACTATATTGAAGGATAAGCATGTTAACGACATTTCTCTAAGAGTTGACTGTTTGGTCTTAGGGACCCAGAAAAAAGGTGTGAAAAGAAAGCGTGAAAATTAGCCGAAGGTCACTGCCTGCTGCTTCTGCATGTGGCATGACTGACTATAATTTTCACATTTCTTCCATGTCATGAGTAGGGTATGAAAAAGAGCAAAAATGAGTCGATAATTTGGAATATGGTCACCGGGCACTGGCTCATTCACATTTTGCATTATTTTCACTTCATATTATTCAGCATTCAAAGAAAAAAAATTGAATTGTAAAATCTTTCTAGATACTAATATCTTATTGAATTAAGAAATTCAAGATTTTGCGTTCTAAACAATAAGACTTTTTGAATTTGTCTATTCTATTATGATTTCATTGGAAATTGACGGAAAATCTCTTAAAAATCCCCTCAATACCTTCCTTTTTTCCTATCAGTAAACATATTTTTCAAGTTGGTAGAAAAAAAATAATTAAGAGGAACGGGGCTTTTTGAATTTTTTTTTCTGGGACATTTTGATAAAAAAATAACTTGTATCTTTCTTTCATGTAATGAGTAGGGTAGGAAATAGAGCAAAATTGAATAAATAATTTGGAGTATGGTCATTTGCTCATTCACGTAATGCATTATTTTCACTTCATATTATTCAACATAAAAAAACAAAAAAAAAAAAGTTGAATCGTAAAATATCTGATGGAAGCAAATTTTAAAAAATCATGTTATTTAATAAGCAAAAATCCATTGAAATATCTGATGGAAGAGAACAACTGAAAGCAACTAGTTAAAGAGGTGATGGTGTTGAGAAGGCACAGACAAATGGGTTCAAACTTTAGAGAAGACAAGAATTTATAGCAATTCAGGCATACATATCTGGGCCACCCAAGCCCATTAGGCCCACATAAAAACATTGGGTTCTGTTGCCATCCAGCAAGTCTTATAACGAGCAAATTATAAATTAGTCCCTTTAGTTTAAAAAAAGGAATTAATTTATACCTCTTGTTTTAAAAATTAATAGTTTAGTTCTTATATTTTTAAATTTTCTTGTAATTTCATATTTTCACTCTTTTTCAACCTTTTTGACTTGAAAAATAATAAAAATATAAAATATAACAAAATTATTGAGAAAAGATAAGATTTCATGAATTAAAATAATATTAAATTAAACGCAAACAATACTAGTTAAGAAATTAAATGATTAGTTTTTGAATAACAGAAACTAATTAATTCATTTTTAAAATAGGTTTTAGTTTATAATTTACTCTCATAATTTACTGTCCTTGTCTCTAATTAATCTTGATCTTGGCTCACTAGAAGAATTGCCTTGAGAAGTCAAAGAAAGAATTGCTTCCATGAAAAGTAAAAATGTAGAGTTAGTGACAGAGAAACAATTATATCACACTGACATGAAAGATGATTACAGTCGTTTGGTGATTCTACTAAAACAAGTTATAGCTAAAAATTTCTTGAAAAATAAAGAAAAGAGTGATCTTAGAGGTTGTAAGTGTATTGGATTGAAGATTCTTGAACCATCGTTGGAAATAGTTAGTTACAATGGAACATGACTAAGGAGAATGACAATGTTGGCATGTGTTCATCTCGCATTAGGATACTTAAGGGAAACAAAAAGGTTTTGCACATATTGAAATCTTATATAATTTTATTTTTTTTATTAAGATCTAAGTTTTTTTTTTTTTTTTTTTGTCTAATTTAAGAGTTTTGTTATTATGTTGTTATTGTTTCGGACCCTAATATACTACGTAAACACACGTGACAAGTCGTAATCAATGATAACTTGTAAGTTGTAGCCAATGACGACTTGTGACGTGTCATGGTGAGATTCAAATTGGATGATCGAATTGGTGACATGATAAGCTATCATTGGCTAGAGTTTGTCACATATGTTTACATGACAAGTCGTTATTGATTAGAGTCCGAAATAATAATAACATAAGAATAGAACTCTTAAATTGGATAAAAAAAATTTAAGATTTTAATTAAAGAAATTCGAATTATATAAAAAATCTCAATATGCGTAAAACCAAGAAGAAAATATCTGAATTTGCTAGATAGAATTCATGTTTGGTCTTTTTGAGTAGAAGAGGAACTTTACTTTGCTCTTGTTAAGGTTAGTGAAACAAAAGAACACTAAGAATTGTTCTAACAGTAGCAACACCAATGCGTCAACTACTAGCCAAGCGGAACTGAAACAACATGACAGGCGATCCTATAAATTGTCTCTATTTTGGATAGGGTTAAATTATCCTTTATGCATATTATCATTAGAACACATTAAAACATTAATAAATATTTTGTATTACGTACACTAACCTACTCAATGAACGGGCATGAGACTAATACATATAAAAAGCATGAGATAAAAATTTGAGATTTTTTGTTGTTAGTTAACGTGGAGGAAGGTTCATTCAGAAATTTATGATAGATTGGCAGATGGAATTATAGTTTTAAATAGATTTTAAGTGATATAGTTGTTGGATTTGTAAATAAAAAGAGATTTTAGTATTTTATCGCAGATTTGTTAATTCCATCGATAGGGGTTTGGTAATGCGGTCTATTCTCCCATTAATAAGTTATGGCAGGAGATTTTAAGGGGATGTATTATTTTCAATGTTAATAAAATTACTTTTTACTATAAAAACGAAAAAAAAAATTAAAATTTGCACCATAATATATGGATGAGACATATATATATATATATAAACTTTGGTGTGTGAAGTTTATTTTCAGACTTAAAATTTTTGAATTAAAAGTCAAATATGTTCTTATTATAAAAAGGGATATAGGTTAGCTTAGAATTTTAAGACACAAACAAAAACTTTTTAGGCCATCCTCACGAGCACCCTGAAGTTGGAATCACTTATTGAATTTGATTTGTAACAAATTTGAATCAAATTTTCAGAGATTGGCTTCATAGTTAAGGATGTTTGCTTCTTCTTGTATTTTATTTTAATTTTTTGGGTTCAAGTTTTGGTGTCAACATTCAATAAAATTTATTAAATTTTTCTGAATGAATTAGACCGATATAGAGGATGTGCTCCTAAAATCTTTCAAGCAAGGACTTATTCTTGGTTAACACATAAATTAATCCAAAAATATTCTCATCGTAAAAAAAAAAAAAAAAAAAACCGATTGAACCTATTTTAGCACATCAAAATGTTTTCTTTGGCCATGCTGTTTATTTCAATTGAGCTTAGCTTGTTCCATTAATTTCTATTGTTCTGCAAAATTACAATCTTAATATTTTTTTCAGTTGTAAGAAAATAATTCCTTGTGAACGAACAAGTACTAGACTGGAAAATGACTTTAGTATCAATGAGAGAAAATTCATTCCAAAATACCCTTAATGCTAGAACAAAATACATACATACACACACATATATATATTCACGCATGTCTCGGTACAAATCCTAAAGAGGAAATGTAACAATCTATGCATGAAGATGCAAATTTGGTGACAGTAAAAGCACATTCTGCATTTCAAAACAAAACAAGGAGATTAAAAGGAGTGGCACACTTTGCTGTGTTGATTCAGACTTTAGAGAAGCAAAGACAATTTGCATTTAATCATTGAATTCACATGTAAACAAATCCATGAACTGTAATGTTCACACCTTAAATCAAGTTTGGCTGATCACAATGATTGGAAATGTTTTGGAAAAAAATCCGTTGTTCTAGTTAGTTATTTTGAAGTCATGTTATGTTTTTTTAGCTTGAAGTGGAGGCTGAGGTGAAGCTGTGGCAGAGGTTATGTTGGTGGAGCGGCCTTACGATGTGCTCCGGAGGGCAGGGTACAGGAGCTGGGTGTGCAAGGAAGGTAGGAACATCGTCACCGGGCATCAGGACCGATACCCCTTTCGCATAAACCGTCATCTGCATAATGAAACAAGAAATCAACAAAGAAAACATGAACGAGCAATAAAAAAAGATATGAGATTTAATTAGGCATCAGCAACAGTTTGCTGCGAATTTTGCTGGCACTAACTAGATACTTGTAAAACTCAAGAATAACTAATCAGGCATCGATATTTTTGCAATCATTAGGACAATGAAACAAGATATTAGTGGCAATCATTAGGACATTGTAGTAAACAAGGTGTATAGGAATTTTCGAGCCATGGAAGGCATAATGGGTTCAGCAACTAATGCACATTAACATTTCCTAAAAAATTTATGCAGAGAGAAGCTGAAAATAGAAGCCATGCAAGAAGTGACAAAAGGGTTTAGTTTAATCATTCTTAACAAGTATAAAGACAAGAAATAATGGAGTAGAATGATTTCTTAACAAAAGCACTAATACCTACTACACTATCCCCTTTGTCTCCGGATTTCACACCCCTTTTCCGTAAATCGAGGGTCTCAATTAATTAACAATAAAATTACTGTGTGAACATCAAGTGTGGAAAAAGAATTGATATCATTGAAACATGTTGATATGCGAATTGTAGAAAATTAGGTAGCCATGCCAAGATAATATATTGGACTGTCAAATGAACAAGACAAAAAAAGCTGGTCTACCATGTCTTAACTATAGATAGGTAAGGACTAAGGAGCAATGAGACATGGCAAACCAATGGGCAAATAATAAAGATATCAGATATACTTCAAAAGACATCCTTTCCTACATACAGCATCACATCAGGTGATAATGTTGGGCTATTGTAAGTTACTTGAAGCTAAGCAACAAATTCAGGCATGAAAAACTTGACCATTGTGCCTAGATATGTTTAGCTGCAGTTAATGGCGTAGGACAAATCTTGGGATGGCAAAAATGGGAGATTGTCAATGATAAAAATAGTTTTCTTTGCCAGCTTCGGGCAGCCCTAATCTCTAAAGATCTTCTAACAATGCTTCGCACAACTCTCCATGAATATTAGAATTTCATGCATCATTTCCTATGTTCTTCACTGTAAGTAACCAGGCAGGATTTACTTTCTTACATCATTTAATCTTCAACAGTCATAGATATTATAATGATGTTAAGCAATAAAGACAAAAATCACATGCTGGTAAGATATAATGGACCCATTGGCCTGATAAACCAGCATAGATAAGCATATTCAGGTAATTAAGGTCTTCCCATGTGTGCTTTAAACATAATTAACCCGCAGAAAGAGCACCAGATTGTTTGGTAGACACCTACGTTAATCAATAATATAGTAGACACAGCTACATCACAATAATAGCAGACAGCCATATCAACAGTATTGGCTGCTCATAAATCACAACTCTAGATAAGTAGATTTAGACTTTGGTTTTGTAGATTTGAAGCAGAAACATGATTGATTCTGGTTTAGATGCCTGCCTTGTACAGAATTATGTTAGCAAAAGGTTTAACAAACACTGCTAAACAAATCAAATCCTCTATATTGAACACATGAGCGAATTATGAAAGCAATACCTTATATACTGTAAACAAAAAAAGAAGAAAGAAAGGTATAAAAGTAATAATATTTTAGCTCTTAATGACAATAAAGATGCATTAGGATAATAATATCTATTATCCTAAGATGTTCGTAATCGAATGAGGTTGCGTTAAAGAGCCGTCATAATATTATATTATAGTGCAAATGATGAATTATTTAACATAATGCAGCCCACTACAAAAGCTCAAAATAATTCCACTAATCTTCCAAATTTTTATGATCTGTCCACAAATTAAGCCACCAAACTTCAATTAGCTAAAGCTTAATTGTCACAATGATCATAACCTTAAAATCACATATGCCATGTGTAATCATGGTTTTGAAAATTACTCACTGACAGTAGGAGCTAAAGATAATTTACTATTTGAAGTAAAGTTAAACTAAAATGAAAAAGACTTGCTCGGTAGACTACATAATAATTGAAAGTTAATTACATATGGAAAATCAATGGTTCCTACCACTGAGGGGAACAGAAAAATTCCAGTTTTCAAAAGTTGAAAAGGATCATTCAATCAACAAGAAACTGAAGGACATGCCAGCATGGGCAGTCACAATATAGAGCTATCAATTGGATGGTGCATGAGCATATCAATAGGTCCCAGCTATCACCCTCTTTGTTTCATGTGACTTAGTATACTATTCTTTCAAACAGGAACTCACTTCAAATTCTGATGAAATAAGGAACAAGAAAATTTTGATACTTTATCTCATGCTTAAACACTTGATCTTTCATCTTAATCACTGTCAAAATAAGTAAATACATGCCAAATTGTGAGCCTAAAACACTAATAAAAGATATCACAATGGTTACTACAATAAACCTAAACCAAAACCAAAACCAAAACCAAAAAGTGATTTCAGAGAGACAAGTTTAAGAAAGCATAAAAGGGAAAAGGCTTTTAACACATACATACAAATATTGCAATGAGCATAATGACCAGTCAAACTGCCAAAGATTAATTATCATTACATACAAAAAGAAAGCAAAAGGAGCAGTCACAGTCATGCTTGCAGGTATACTCATTACCCTTTGCAGGTCATCCCAAAAAGAATCAAGACATAGACAGAACAACAAAAAGAATGCAAAAGTAATGCTTCTTTTATAACCAAAAAAATTAATTTCCAATCTTTTAATTAATAAAAGCAAAAAAAAAAAAAAAAAAAAAAGTATCCCTTCCTTCCCAGAAATCAAAAACAAAAAATGTAACCAAATTGTGTGTGTGTGTGTGTGTGTGTGAGAGAGAGAGAGAGCTAGAGAGAGTACTTTTGGAGATGGGAAATCAAGCTTGCCATGGAAAACAGCTTGTGCTTCAATATCATTGGAAGAAGAGCTGCCATTGGCACCACCAGAGGAAGACAATGATCTTGGCCTTAAAAACCTTTCAAAGATAGCCATGACAAGGAACATAGATATTAATATAGCAGTAGCTACAAACCCAAAAGACACAGCATTCACTGAATTATCAAAATGTCTCCAGTGATCATCTCTTTCTAAATTCGAAGGCACCACTGTTGTTATTGGTGGTGACACTACTGTATCCCAACTATCTTCCACACCCATTAGAACCAAAATGTTTAGCAAAAATATTCAATGTCTCTCTCTCCCTCCTCTCTCATTAAAGAGCGAAACCAGAGCAAACCCAGTTCAAGTTCTGTTTCTTTCGGGGTGTCATAGGGTTTTAACACTTGCTTTGTTAAGCATGGAAATGGGCATATAGCTAGTAAAGATTGTATAGATTCGTTAAAGAAAAGAGCTTTGGGAGAGAAGGAGAAAGGTGGGTTCTTTATGAGTACAAAGATCAAGGCTTTTTATGGTAGTAACAATGGACTCGTGCTTCTAAAGGAAAGTTTTATTACCAATCACGGAGAGAGAGAGAGAGAGAGGGAGAGGGAGAGAGAGAGACCACTGGACAGTGAGTTTAAAGAGAGCTTTTTGTATGACAAAGTTTTCTTTATTTCTTTGAAAAATATGGCTTTGGGAGTTGGGTCATTGGCTTGCTAACCAGCATGATTGAGTTAGAAAATTCAACAATTACTTTATAATGGAGTAAATTATAAATTAATCCTTCTTGTTTGCATAAACCAATTAATCAGTCTCTCGTTTTAAAAATTAATTATTTAATTTTTATATTTTAAAATCTATTTATAATTAAATTTTTTTTATTTATAATTTATTTTAAAAACATAAAATATAAAAATATTGATGAAAAAATAAGAGGTTTTGTAAAATAAAAATAATATTAAATTAAGTATAATAAATACTAATTAAAAGAATAAATAATAATTTTAAAAATTAAGAAATTAATTAATTAATTTCTTAAAATATTTACTCCTTCATGATAAGGAAAAACTCGTAAGCGTTAAATTGGTTGGACTTTAAAACCAACATATTTTATGTTAAATTGTAGAACGATGGAATCTTTCAAGAAGTTATAGATAAATAGTTAAATCTGTTTTTATATAAAATTATGATTTTTTATATGTTTCTAGATTTTCAAATATAGATAAATATTTTTTAATAAAAAATACCTTTTATTAAAATATAAAAAAATTAAAGTCACATGATCTGTTAAAATTTTTAAATTTTTTTTATTTATTTAATATTTTAATTAGAGTGGTTTCGGTCAAAAAAATTTATGATTAAAAAATAAATTAAACATTTCGATTTTTTTAGAAACATAAAAGATTCAATTAGAAACTTAAGAATAGATAAAACAAAACCTCAAAGTATTAGATAATTAAGAATAGATTGAACTATTTATTCATAAATTATAAACACCCTTTTAAGGCTTAATTTTGCTGCTAAATGATTATATTCCTTGTGTTCTTATCCATATCCGAATTTGATGTAAGAAAATTATATTCTTAATTAGGTTCGAAAATATTATATAATTAAGAATAGATTGAACTGTTTATTCATGAAGTGATGGAAAGCTTTGGTAAAGTTGACTGCAAAATCATTTTTTTCACCATGTGCAACTTCTTTGGTGAAATTAGAGGCTAGGGTGAGGGAATGCCTGTCAACTGACGTGATGTTGAAACAAGTTAGTTTTGATTATTTGATACCATAGCAGATTACTGAAAAATTAGTGAATTTTCTCAATTCAGTGTATAAACTGTCAATATTCAGTATAATAAAAATTATTTACATATGCTAACTCCTCCGTTAATGTATACGGTCAAGAACAATATTTTTCATTAATATCATAAATTATTGCAATTATTCAGTATTATATAATAATTGCGATTGTTATTTTATCATAGCATTAAATCATAATCTGCTATTGAAATCATGACTATTTGTATCGTTTTTTAACCGTGTTTGTAATTTAAAACTATAATTAATATATGTTTTTGAAGTAGAAAATCAACTGAGTTCAACAAGAAGCTATTAGCTATTAATCTATATTAAATAATTTGAGTAGTTTGGATTTGAGTGTTTTCTTTTTTATATACATCCTATAATGAGAGGTAGTTTTAGATTAATTTCTTTTGGTTTTTTACCTATATGTTTTTATTGCACATTTAAGATAAAACTAATCATATTCGTAGTCGAAACAATAAAGTTTAACATTTCTCGATAAATATGATTTCAGAATTTAAACCTCGTATATTGATAAGAAATTCGTTTGAAGACCAACTCAATTATTATTGGATTAGAAACTTATTGATGTATTTTTAAATTAATTTACGCATCAATTAGAACTATTTTTTTTACTGGATGGTTTTAAGAATTCATCCCTTATATAGTTATATTGACTTTATATTCTTAGAAAAAGAAGGTACTTAGAGTGCTTCATTAAGAGATGATCTGTTGATGGAAAAACATTAAAATCACGTCACTTATTTCTAATGATAAGCATCTTTTCTTATCACCTTAACATTGGTGATAATTGAGCTTTTTTTTTTTTTTCCTTTTTTCCTTACGAAATTGAAAATAGATTATATTATCCACACTCGTAAAAAAACCATTTAAATTGAGCCATATAAACTAATTGATACATCACGATAAAATTGACATAAATTGCAATTTCATTTTCTTAAATCGTTCAATTACATCAATTTTAATTAATTGTCAATTTATCGGCACAAATATTCTTAAAATATTAGAGTTTTTTTTTAAAGAAACAATCTTCTCGTTTAGGGAGTGGGCTTTTTATGCCAACGGTCTCTTTGTAGAATTGAAGATTTTCAACTATATATAGGCCAACTCTCATGAAAATCCACCGTATACTAATTGCGACTTCTACCCATTTTTGTGAAAGTAGAATTATAATATTCTACGTAAAAAAAAAGGGGCAAATAGCGATCGAAATTATCTACCCTAAGTAAAACTCATTAATAATTTTTAATAAGTCTGGTTTATTCACAATAATTTACAATTCTGGTGAAGCAACTATTTAATATGATAGTTCAAGTTCTTAATCACTTCGTATTACGGGTTTCAAAATCTTGAAAAAAAAAAAGAAGAAAAAAAGAGAAATTGATAAATTCTAATATAAATGATCTTTCAAGAAAGAGTATAATGTTTATAAATGGATTTTTCTCAAATTTAGAATTTATATTTTTTAATTTTTTATTGAGATTTTTTTAAATTTGATTGACGCTATTTATTTTTTTCAAAAAATTTTATAAAACGAATTTTCTCTATATCTAGACCGTCTATTTAAAAAAAATTATTTAAAATTTTGTAAAACGAATTTTCTTTATATCTAGGCCGTGTATTTAAAATTTTTATAAAATTATAAAAATTTTAAATACAAATAAAGAAAATTCGTTTTACAAATCACTAATAAAGTCTTTTTCTAAAAAAATCAAGATGAATTCTAATCAATTAAAGTATCGAAATAATCTAGAGATTTTTTTTAGAATTTATATTTTTTTAAAAAAATTTTTATGGAGATTTTTTTTAATTTGATCGACGCTATTTTTTTTTTCAAAATTTTTTAATAAAATTTTAATTAATTTTTTTAAAATACAAGGTCTAGACATAGAGAAAATTCGTTTTACAAATCACAAAAAATAAAGTCTTTTCTAAAAAAATAAAGATGAATTCTAATCAATTAAAGTATCGAAATAATCTAACGTGATTATTTCTAAATCGTGATATAACAATGAAAAGGATATATATGTATATATCAAAAGCAAATAAAAAAGCCTCTTCAATTTACGAAAATCAGCATTAACTCACCGCAAAAAATGGAAATATACGGACAATGATAAGCTACGATCCTGTGCAGTCGCTGCAGTGACTGCAGGATAATAACACAAGTCTCAGGATTCACGTGCCTCTCGTGTCACAGATCCCAGAGCTGTGGTCCCACAAAACGAACACGTGGCAGAACAGCGAACGCCGATAGTTCTCGAGCGTCGAGACGATCATCCCAACAGTTTCAAATCAGGGCCGTCACTTTCCTCAAGGGTCAATTGAAAGTCAACGGCACGTGCAACAGCGTGTGTAGGCGTTGGTGAGGCTTGACAGATTGTGGGACCAATCACAGGTGGCCCGTGCAAATTTGGGCCTCACGTGAAGGACCCTTTTGCTGTTTTATTTACCTGGGACTTGAGCGAGTTTCATCAACTTTCTCTTCTTTTCATGCTATTACAAAACAAGTTGTGGATTGGGCTCATGATCCCCTGATACTCAACAATGTGGGCCCACTTTTGTTCTTTTTCAGAGAAGATGGGCCCACTTGGTCTAGGGGTTTTTACAAACTTTTATGTTTTATATTGAGCCCAAAAGCTTTGAACATTTTTCAATGGGCTCTTAAAAACTTCAATTATTACAATTCACTCCATTATTTTGGTCCTCAAAATTTGTATGTCCAGACCTCATGATAATAATGCTACTTATGAGATCTGTCTAACAACACAGCAGTGGCTACAAAGCTCCTTTTCTCCCTCTTCTTCCATAGGTTCAAAGCTCCTCCACATATCTTCATTTGCTGATGTGTCAAACACGTGGACAACCGACATTGATCTCAAATCTTCACCCGGCATTCGATAGCCTGCTAAGAAGTACAAGTGAGCCCTAATCGGTGCCACGGTGAGATAAAGTCGTTGACACGGTGGCCAATTCGCTTCCGCGGCATCTGACGTGGAAATTGGAGAGGATAGGGTTTGCATATGTGAACCATCAACCACATTCCAAATCTTGAGTTTCCCATCATATGCTTCTATATGACCTTTCCAAGCGTTCAAGCAATCCCCAGAGCTAAATAAGTTTCCATCAAGAGCTACTATTTGATTAGGTGGCACATCTAATTGCCACATCCCTACGACGAGATCCCACTTGTCATGTTTGGAGTCGTACACCTCAGCAGAACACCTCTCCAATATATGCCACGGCAACCTTGTACTACAATCTCCTTTCTCAGCAAATCCCCCTACCACGTGGATTTTTCCTTGCCATGTCACCCCAACACATTTGTACCTCATTGTGCTCATGTTAGGCAACGATTTCCACTCGTCAAGTGCCGGGTCATACACCTCAGCCGACGAAATCCCACGTGGACAAGCCAGCGAACTTTTCCCGCCAGCCACGTAGATTTTGTTGTCTTCGCTGACACTGCAAGCAAAATCAAAGCGTGGGAAGCCTAATGGTGCACATTTGGACCAGATATTGTTACGTACATCATAACGTAGTACTGAAGAGACAACCTCAACGCATTCTTCTGTAATGTCATCTTGATCCTGGTCTAGTATCTTACGACAAAGCCGGCCACCGATTATGTATATTGAGTCCCCAATTGAGACCATGGAGAAACCCTTTAGAACATGATTCCCATAAAACCCAGGAATCGTGCTAACTTTGTTCCATGCATTGTTTGAAGGGTTGTAACACTCTATCCAATGAGACATGGTGGCGTCAGGTGATGGATCTCTGGTGCAAAATGTTGCATAAATGCCATAATTTGAGAGGGTACTATTTTCATGTGATGATTGTGGGGGAGACTGAGGGGAGAAGGAACCCATGATGGCGTTAGAAATTGGTATATTTTAGCCTTAAAATGTGCTTGAAAGTGGGGGAATTTGATAGTGTGGAACTTAGGCGAATTTATAGATATCGGGGCATTGTAGAAAACTAAGAAGGCTAATTTGGTAGCATCGCCAATGAATATGGTGAGGAGAGTGAGGTAAAAATCTTTTGAGGTTTAGGAGGAATTATCTAAGATTTTCTTGTTTCATGATAAAATATTGTTTGGTTTTAATTATGTAATCTTTTATTACACTATTGGTTTGTGACAAAGTGACCAGCTTTGGAGAATACAAATGGAAATAGTCAATGGAGGAAGATAAGTGTTTTTTTTTCTTGATTCCTTAGCATCCAAATTTGTTTAATTTGCAATATAATATCTCAACAATAGTGATGGTTTGCCGTTTTATGTTCCTCTTGTACAATCATCTTAACAAGAAGCAATAGAAATTTTCTCGGTAGAATTGGATTCTATATCAAATTCAAATGTCGAAATTGGAAAATTTTAACTATTATTTTTTGTTTTTTGGGTCTAAGGTGGATGAAGTTTATGCTATTAAAATAGTTTGGGATGGTCAAGTTGAATATACAAGAATGATTCGCAATTGCAATGAATTTCACTTCTCTCTTGGATCATCCAAGAAAACAAGCAAAGAAAGGCTACTTTGCTCATGATGATGAGAGCCACCTTCTTTGTGATTTGTGGTTAGGAACAAAAAATTAGCACTCACCTTCTTTGTTCTTGCCAAGTTACCTACTCTTGCTTTCCTTTGTTCCTCTTGTACAATCATCTTACCGGTTTTTTTTTTTTTTTCTATATAAAAAGAAAAAGAAAAGAAATTTTCAAAAAGAATACAAAGAATGGGAAGATGATGATTTTTAGTCAAATAAGATAAATAGATCAATTGGAGTTCACTGACCCAAAAATCAAGGGCCGTGGGCCTTTAAGTGTTTTAACTTTTATGTGTAGTCGGATCATGGATGTAGTTGAAGCATTTGGGTTTAGTGGGTCATGTTTGTTGCTGATTATCTTGTAAAACCTAGCACCAAATAATAAAAAATCTCTTGTAAAACCCAATGGGCTATTTTTATTTAAAGAATAAAAAATCTCTTGTAAAGCCCAATGGGCTATTTTTATTTAAAGAATCATTATTTTGAAGTAAGCTATTGTGCACAAAGATATAATCAATCAACCAAAAATAACAAAATTGAGAATCTAGACAACTCTGCTTTTGAGGATAATTAAAATAATTAAAATATGTAAAGTTTGTAATTTTCTTAGTACAATAAGTCAAAAAAATAGTATAGAGATCCAATGGGCTCCAACTGCTCAACATCAGACTTTGCTTTTGAGGATAACTCTGCATAATAGCCCACAACTAGTCCTTTGTAGTATTGCTAGGAAAGCAGCCCCAATTAGTCGCGGATTCACACCCACCCCCACCCACCCCAACAACCCTCTATCATCGGAGAAGACAAAGAGATATTTATATTTGGAATATGCTAACTCTTCGAATTTTTTTTCCCTATTAGTGCCTCTATTTATATATTTTTCTTTTTCTTTTTTTATTTTAGTGTGTTGAGTTTGGCTCGTACTTGGTAAAAATTATATGTACAGTTTGGAGAGAAGTCTTTCATATTTTTCAAGATCTATCCTATAATATGGAATTAAAAAGTCAAAATAAATGATTTTACTAACCCTTAAAATGGTCAAAATGTTGACCCTTAATTAGAATATAGTTTGATGATAAAATTTATCCCAAATTATTGGAGTTATAGCAAAATAAGACCTATATTATTAATTTAGACTATTTGAACTCCAAAATATTAATTTTTTAGCCAATTTTATCCTTTTCTATTATTTATGACGAGTCAAAGTGTTAATCGTTGACTGAAATGCTTAAAATAACGTCATTTTATGCATTTTATTTTTTAAAAAAATTAAAATTATTTTAAAAAAATTAATAAATTTTTTTAACTAGATAAATCAATTGCACATCGTTAATTATTTAACAACAAAAGTACGGTCAATAAATCAAAAAAATCATCTTATCTATCTTAAAGCTACTTAGTATTAAATATTTCTTTCGAAATTAATTTTAATTCTTACAAAAATATTAGTTTTTTTTTTTACTAAATGGATCTATTACGTACCCTTAATTATCCAACAATAAAAGTCAAATCCATAAACAACAAAATTATCTAAGTTTTCTTAAAGCTAACTATTATTAAAAAAAATAAATTTAATTTTAATTGTGAAAAAAAAAATCAGCACTTTAACTTTCAGAAATAATTGAGAATGATAAAATTTACCTAAAAACTAATAATTTAGGATCCAAATATCTCAAATTGATAATGTACGTCTTATTTTGTCACAATTCCAATAGTTTAGAGATAAATTTTATTGTTAAAATGTATTTCAGTTAACGATTAATGTTTTGATCATAAAAAATAATAAATAATAATAATATTCACTCAAAAGATAATAATTTGCAGTCCAAATAGCATAAATTGATGATATGAGTTTTAAATTATTATACTTAAATAGTTTAGAGGTACTACAATTTAAAAGACTACAACAGGGTTCTAACTTCTGCTGACACGTTTTTATTTTTCGAATAAAGATCTTTTTGAATTAAAAAAGAAGAAGAAGAAGATATTTTGGATTAATTATTATTATCATGAATATAGGTCCCATGGTTATATATATGTTTCATTCCATGACCTGCCAGGTTGTGAAATTTGAAACTGTTGAATTTGAACGATAGGGAATGCACTTGTTTCCCAAAAACACCTTTTTGATTATCCAATAAGGATGATGTTGATAACATCCAAAAAGTTAGGCAACAAGTTTACAACTTAATTGTTGATTCATGGTTATGTTCTTCCTATCTTAAAATGTAATGTTTTGAATCCGAATCTCTTTTATAATGGAAAAATAAAGTTTAAATATTCATATAGATGGATAAAAAAAATAGTTAAGGAAGATAATATTTATAATATGATGTTTTAAAGATTTAAAATTAAATTTGCCAATTATAAAAAAGGTCTCAAATTCCAATAATAAATAATAAATTAGTTCTTTTAGTTTTGAAAAAAAATAATTAATCATTATTTGTTTCAAAAATTAATTATTTAGCTCTTATATTTTAAATTTTCTTGTAACTTAATATTTTTTTCCTCTTTTTCAATTTATTTTTTGAGTTTTTTTTTAAGAAATAGAAAAAGGTAAAAAAAAAATTAATTTATGAGAAAAAATAATATTTTTTGAAATAAAGTAATATTTCCCACATCCAAAAGAGATTGTCTATCTTTATATCTATTTCAAAATACTTGTTTGGTCAAAACTTTAAGTGGTGTAGTTTTATAAAATACTTTTATTTAAAATCTACTTTGTAAAAAAAACTTCAAATACAATTGTAAAAAAAATTTAGAAAACCTAAATAAAAGATATTTATATGAGATAATAGTTAATATTTTTTTAATATGCATTGGTGGTATTAAATTAAGTGTGATCAATATATTTATAAATAAACTAAATGATTAATTCATTTCTTAAAAATAGAGATACTAATTTATAATTTGCTCCAAATCCAATGGTGGGAAAGAACATAATAAAATCAAGTCACTAATCAAACTTGGTTGTTTGCATTTTTATGGATTGAAAAAGCGTTGTCTCTCCCCAATTATTTAGTGGAACTTTAATTATGAATTTATGAGACAAAGTACATCTCTATCTTCAATATGAACTTTGAAGATTGCATATGCACTAACTAACTCAAGTAGGACAAAAAAGAAAGATCCAATCATTAAAGAGTTAATAACTTCTGTCTTTTTCTATTTTGGGTGTCATTATACTTTGTAATTTGTGTTTTAAAAAATTATAATATCCATCTTAGATTAATGCAGTTAATATTTCCACATATATTTTTTTTAAATCCGAAAATACCAACGTTTTTTAAAAAGATATAAAGGATTACATTCTTATTTTATCAATGGCATCTCTTTTTTTGGAAGAAAAACTTTTGTTTTTTCGAAAACCATACTACCAAAACTCAATATTTTTAAGAAAAGCTATATATTTTTTAAATCCATATAATTTATGCATTAATATTTTTTTTTGATAAATCATAAAATAAAAATAAATAAATGACATGCTTACTTACCAATAGAAATACTGATATTGAAATGAAATGAGGTTGAGTGAAACGAATAATTTTTTCTAATGAATATTTTTAATACTAATTAGAAATTTTACTTGTCTATTCCAAGCATTCATTTACTTTTCAGAAGTTACCTATTCTTTATGGAATCTAACCAAAAATCAACTCAATTTTCAACCGCCAACTAACTTACAGATTTTTAATAGAAAATGAAATTAAAGTATAATTAGTAAAAAAAAAAAAAATAGAATGTGGAAAATGTAATGTTATCAAAATAGAAGTGCAAATTATAATAGCATCCAAAATAAAAGGTGATGCAATACTTAATTCATCATTTAATTGCTATAAATAAAGTGTTCATCATAAAATTCTTTTTTTTTACTCATATATTTTCATCCTACATCAGAAATGAAACTAATTATATCTAAAACGATATGATTTAACTCTTCTCAATAAATATGACTCGTTAGAATATCTTTAAGTTCTGCTAATACAAGCTATTTTGTTTAAATTTTAGTTTGCATTAATGGACTAATATAATATTTTTTTTTAGTAAACACAAGAAGGTTTTTAAGTGTTAAATCACTTTTTTTTCATCCTAAAGGTTATTTTTGAATCTCTATATGAGTTTGTACGTCTAATTTTTTTCTTTTTCACACCAATCTAGTAAATTTAGATAAATTTAATGAGTTTTTTCTAGATGATAACATCAAGGTTTAAATCTACCCAATTTTTGTCTCTATCTCCTTGACTAAACAAGTTTATGACCTGCAAATCTCTGTTCTTTCTGTCATGGAACAAGAACCAGTAAAGCAATGAATTATATTCGTACTGCATGAACAAATGAATAGAGGAAACTAAAGGCAAGTGAAAGATAACTTTTTTTTTAGCAAAATAGGCTTACCATGATCAGGATACCATTCTGGACGAATATTGCAAAGCCTACTGCGTTAATGTATCAGCATTTTCGGCTAACTGTAGAAGTGCAGAAATAATTTCTTGTACTACTTACTACTCAGAACCTGCACACTTCTCTGATTGGCTTGGTACGGCTTTGTTATTAATTACCTTGACGAATCTTCCTTGCAGCAACAATTGTTTTTTCAAAATTTGGTCGAACTCAGAAAATCTTAAACTCAAAGATTGATTTATCAATCAATTAATTTAATTGAATGATTCATCCCAATAATCTTTAGATTTTTTAATATGATATATATATTTTTTATTGGGTTCTTTGATTTTGTAAAATTTTCTTAATGTACTTCCTTTAATGAAATTTCGTCTAATTTTTCAAAAAAAAAATAACAGATAGATAAACATATTAGATAAAACCGACACATGAAATTATAATTTTACCACATATCACTTTTATATGATATGTTATTCTAGGAGTTAATTTTATCTAATTTATCACTCCTTTTGTTACTTTTACTCGAAAAAAAGAGTTACATCAAAAAAATTAAAGAGTAAAACGATCAGATAAATAAAAAAAATAAAATAACCACAATAAAAAACTTTTAAATAGTACATAGATGAATCATGCTATTAATCCATTAATTAATTCTAAGTCACATGTACATTTGTAAGATTAATCATGTAATGAGTTTACTCAACAGGCATTGTTGTTCATGATCTCCTTCTTAAAAAAAAAAGACCTCGATTTCGAACACTTTCAACGTAACAAAATAATAATAATAATAATAATAAAAAAAGTCGTGTAATAGTTTACGTATTAGGTACGTAGAAAACATTAAATTTTGGTATGATATAAAAAACCAAGGATTTTTTTTTAAAAGATCGTATTAATTTACATATTAATTGAAACTAAGATTCTTTGCCAGAGAATCCTAAAGAAACACCCACGTTAATCTGGTGTATTCGAAACAATAACATTGTCAAGTACTACCTTAAAATTCGAACTCAGAAAGTCAAGAAAGTAAGTAAACGTTCTGTTAACTAGACATACGTCTTGGAGTTTAGGAAGAAATCTCGGATTCATCAAAGAGGAATTGTTTCGATGGCTAGGGCTCAAGCTGAGACTTTACGATTCGAAGTTCAGATCTCCTCGCCTCCTAATACAGAAAAAGGAAACCTTGGATTTAATTCTACTTGTCACTTGTTGATACAATTAGAAAAAAAGAGTCGCTTCTCAATCACCATCTCTAGGCTGTTAAAGTTTTTCAATTTATCTATCATTTATGAATTTTTCATGCCCTAAATCATCATTACACACGTAGAAACACAGAAGGTCAATGTTTACTGGCTATGTGGCAGATCTTTCTGGCATCAGAGTGGGACCGGCCGGCCATAACCAGTTGTCATCTGGGCACATTCAATGGATCCTGAAATCTTCAAATAGCATTACGCTAGACCGAAGTAAGAATTTTTTTTAGTAATCCGAACGGCTAAACAAAAAATCTGGAGCATATAAATGAACGAGAAAAGAGTTAAAGCATATATTTTATATTAAATAATTAAATTAAAAATAATTAATTAACATAAAATTGAAAATAGATTATTCATCACAAAATTTAAGTCTTTTGGATAGAATTTAATTTCAACTTGTCTAATTCTATATAGTATCGGAGGCCTAACGACTCATCAAAGATCCTAGAATCCAAACCACTTGATAGACTCCATCTTGACAGATCTCAAAATATGAGCTGCAAGTGAGGAGAGTATTAACACATATCTCACGTTAAATAGTTAAACCAATAAATAATATATAAAATTAAGAAATAGTCATTTATTATAATATTTTTTTATTGATCCTTTTAAGATATACCAGGATTAAAGATCATGATTAATCCTTTGTTATTATGTCAGACATAACTTGAGATCACTTACTTAAACAATTAAAACATGGATCGAAAATACCACTTAAACTGGGATAAATACAATTATAACCTCGTTGAAAATCACATATTTATTATTTTAATGGTACTGAAAGCTACCGGCCACCGCCAACGTGGTACGGATGCTAAAATCATCAACATTCAGACTTCTCTGATTCAAGAAGAGTGTTGCACCAGCAGATTTGCTTGTCTTGCAAGGTCGTTGCAGTATTTATTGACTTTTTGTTGCCGTACAATGCCAATTCTGTCAGCCCCAAAACTGAGGATTTCTGAAACAATCTGACTTTCCAACCAATGGTCCCTAACTCCCTATATACATAGCCAGAGCTCCACGGTTGCCAATCGTCGAAGTTAAAATAGGATGCCATTTTACAGCTGTAATTTGTTCATTTCGCACTTGAAAAACTGTTCAATCAATCATCGCTAAGGTGAATTCTTTTTAAATTTGGATGTTACCATAACTGGAAGTGGGAGTAAATTATAAATTAGTCCCTCTAGTTTTTCAAAAAGATTTGAATAGTCTCTTTAATTTTAATAACTAATTAATTAATATCTGTATTTTTAAATTTATTTAGAATTTAACCATTTTCTTTTTCTTAATTTATTTTGTTTTCGCAAACAGAAAAAGGAAAAGAATAAGTAAAAAATACAAAATAATTAATAAAAAAATATAGTTTAAAAAGGTCAACACTAGTTAAAAAACTAATTAATTAGTTTTTTTTAAAAATAAGATGAACTATTTAACTCATATTATGACTAGAGAGACTAATTTATAATTTACTCTCTTGAGTTGTGGCTAATTTTTTTTTTTTTTTTGCTCCATAAAAAACGAGGAAGACCTTTTTGTTTATGTGGATTCTGAATTTCATCCCTCTTTTTCTATATATGTATATATATATATATATATATACCTCTGAAAAAAACATAGCCTTCTACAAAGCAATTGCTTAGCTGCTGCTAGTGCATGCCTCTCACTAATGGGGATGGCAATTTGTCCTGTTAGTCAATGTAGGAATTCTTTGAGTTGATCGAGTAACGTTCTGCCTCATATTAATTTTGAATGGGGATGGGACAGGTATAATATTTACCTGTCCCCTCTCGTTTGTCTTACTCTGTTTCTAAAATTATAATTATATCCTATATAAAATATGTGATTATTGACTCTTATGGTTTACTTTTTATATTAATTATTATTTTTTTATTATAGTTCGAATTTGATAACAAAATTTTTATATGAATTATTATTTTTTCACTATAATTCGAAATTTGATAACAAAATGAAGTGATATGAGATGAAAATAAAAAATTAAACAGAACATCGGTCCTGTGAGGATCTCTGTCTCTATTTGAGACGGGATTGGTACGAGAAATATTACCACGTATGAGGCATGGGGTGGGGATGGGGTAAACTTTTCAAGGGCAGGGATGGCTCCATTGCCATTCCTACTCACCAACAGCAACCCCTTTTTTTTTTTTTCCTCTTTGTAGTTTTAGATTATACTAGCTTATATTTTCTTTTCGTAATATACCTCGTGTAGTGTGTATACTAGAATCAGACCAGAACTTAACAAATTTGTTATCCTTACTTTGAGTCTCCCCAAATCCTTCAAAACCCATTTGAGCCTTCACATTTTCTTCAAAACCCAGTTCACCTTTTCCTTTAAAGTTGCTAACTTCGCCATCAAGTGACTCAAACTTCCTTTCTTTAGCCTCAATTTCTCCAATTTCTTCAAAACCCACATCGATCCTTCCACTCTCCACAAAACCCAAATCATTTTTCAAATCAAAGTCACTTAGTTTACGATCATCAAATCGATCACTATCCGAATTAGGCCAAAACTCACCGGAATTCCTCCTCTGGAGCCGAGTTTCTGAGCCAGGATTGACCTAACTCTGATTTTCAGACTCAATAGTACATCATGAGAGAAGTAATCTAACCTGAACATACCTTCCGTACTAGCCTCAATTTCTTTAAAAGTCCTCAAAGAATTAGCCACTGAATTAGTAACAAATTGATCTTCTCTAAAGAAGTAGAGGAACAGTGAGAGAGAGAGATACGAAAGAGGTGAATTTTGGAGAAACTCAAAAATAAAGTCTCTAACATCAACGGGGATAGCTGTGCGGATGGTGATGATGAGTTGTGTCATGAAGTCTAGGATGCTAGCAATAAGTGGTGCGGCGGGTTGTTGTGAAGAGGAGAATGGATAGAAGATGGCTAAGTGAGATTGTGAGAAAATGAAATTATATATCATTATTTAGTGGTTAGGATTGTTAGGGTTTTTTAGATAAATGGTTGAGATCAAAATAAGCAACGGTCAATTGGACGGCTCCAAAACAATTAATTTAGATCGGACGGTTGAAACAAAAAATATACAAAAAAAATATTTTGTATAGTGATTTAAAGAGAAGTCAAATATCTTCGTACACTTGCAGTGTAATAAATTTCTACACAATTGCCAAAAAGACTACATATTTGTCATATATACCATTCAAAAGACCAGAAATTGCCAAAAGACTACATATTAGTGTCGTCAAGATGTAATTTTTATTATTTTGTTTTATTTAGACGCAGTGTGAACATTGATATGTTTGTATTTTTTAGGCTTAATGAAATTGCTACTTTCTAACATATAAAAAAGGGACCTTTTTGTTTATGTAATTCAATTGCAGACACTGAGTTAGCAATTTTCAAAATCATGTGATGGGAAAAAAAAAAAACCAGTCTTAAATACCAATACTAAAACATACAAATGTTAATTTGATCGTTGAATTTGAATAACTTAACAAAATAAACCTACTAATTTCAAATTCAGTAGTCCAAGTTAAGTACTTTGTAATTAGTGTATAAATCCCTTTTTCTATTAGGGAGTTAATATATACTATATTTTAGAATCTTATCTAAATAACAATTATAACTTTTAAATTTGATAGTTTTTTAACATAATATCAGTAAATTTGTATTTTTTTTACACTTCTTAATACATATTTTTAATGTGGATGGTGTTTGATAATGCATTTGAAAATCTTTTTTGAATTGCATTTGAACTTAAAAAGACATTGAATCTATGATTTTTTGAATGTTTTTTGATAAAAAAAATAAATTAAAACTATCCAAAAAAATCTCAAAATAAATATTTTTCAGCTCAAATTCAACTATATTTTTACAAAAATACACGCACCACATTAATAACCAAACATACACTTAATATCACACGTTTTCCTTAATTCCTTCCATCCATGTATAGATCGAAATGATTGAGCACCCATCTTTCCAACTAGTTGGGATTTTTTATTTTATTTTATTTTTTATTTTGGTACACAACCTGTAGTTTTTCTTTGCATGATAATCTTCCAATAGGTCCAAAATTACAGAAATCGAAGAGTAGTACCCATTTCTTGTTGTTTCACTGTCAATTAACACAAGTAAAGATGGGAAACTCATGACATGATCTCTATGGTTTATTTGGAAGACACTACAAAATTGATTAAGAACACGTGTTTTTGTCCTTTTTTTTTTTCGGGGAGCTAGGGTTTCTATCAAAGTAAATCCTGCACCATGAGTGCTAGACAAAGTAATTTTCAAGTCGTTTTCTGAGTTTTCAAACAGGTGTATCTTTGGAAATCCCAACAGTTAATAACTAAGAACCACTACCTTGTAGAGAGTCGACTCCATTACAACAGTGACATTTTAGTGGCAGCAGGTTAGTACGAAGGAAGTTAAACTTAACTGCTTCTCAAATCCCAAAATGTTTGGAATCTCTTTAGGACGTTTCAAGTTTAAATTTCAAAAGATATGACATGAAAATTATTGAATAATGAAGAAACTATAACTACTTGCTATTAAGTTCAAAAAAAAAAAAAAAAGAAAAAGAAAAACCTTGCAATTGACTCTTTTCACTTTGTAACTGTCTAGTGTTGAATAAGAAATTTTATAATACACCATAAGTAACTAAGTAGTATATATAATAGTTACTCTATGTGTCCATTTTGATGAGAGAGATAGACATATAAAAAGAGAGAGAGAGAAACAGGAGAGAGAAAATAAAAAAATTTGAGTGGACGTGGAAATCTTCTTAAGACTTTTGATGGGTATAGATGTAATTTTTATCTTTTTTATGTGTCTATCTCTCTCCTCAAAGTAGACTCATGGAATAACTAATGTACATGCCACTAGTTAATCCCTGGTGTATTATAAAATTTTTCGTATTGAAGTACGTAAAACACTATATTTTTTATAATTAGGATAAAGATATTTATATGTTATTATATAATATTTAAAATCTTATATCTATTTTTAGATTTTTAATTCCATCCTATTTGTCTCTAAAATTTTTTAAAATGTTTCAATTTGAAATTCCAATCAAATTTTCTGATTACGAATTTTTTTATAATTGAAATATTCTACACTAAAATGCATAATAATAATAATAATAATTTAGAGTCACGTGACCTACATGTTTTATTTTTGAAGTTTTTAGAATTTTATTCATTTTTGTTTGCATCTCAATTAGGGGCATTTTAGTTTAAAAAAAATTTATTTTGTCAAAAAAATTGATTGGAACGATAAATTGAATATTTTAAATATTTTTAAGAACAAATAAGATGCAATTAAAATTTTAAAAATATATAAAATATTTTGAGTATTATATAAAGACACATTGGTATATTTATCCTTATAGTTATATATATTTCAAGGATTTTACGACTTATATCGGAACCGGTATTTAAAATATTTTAATGAAATAAGTTAATTGAATATATATAAGGATGCCACTTCAACAATTGGCTAACGAGATCTCAAACTGAATAAGTTTTTATCTTCTTACTGTTTGAATCAATCTCTTGAGGTTGTTTAAAAAACAAAAATACAATCTATTTTTTGTTTGAAGAATTACAAATGTTTTTTTTTTTCAGGGATGGGAACATTTCATGCATGCTTAAGGTAGGTATTTAGAATTTGATTAATGATATCTAGCTAAGATTTTATGAATTACGGTTTGATTAAAAAAAAGGAAAAAAAGTACATTTGTGGGTAATTGGAAGCCATCCTCATTTTGGAGATAGAATAGGGGTACGATAGAAAGTGATGTCAAATTAATGTCCCACCTCTTCTTGCCCCCACTTTTATATGTTGAAAATGCAATCTTTTCTTACAATAGAACTGGCCCTGTAATTATCGTAGTGCATGTTATGGTATGATAACAAGGACATACGCATGTGCAATTCACCTGTTGTTATTCTTTTTTATGGAAAACATGGTCCTGGACTTTAACGTATTACCTGTGGCAGGCAAATTGCAATGGAAAAGATTTTTGCACACATGATAAGGCCTGGGACAACGCCTTAAATTGACATCTCTATCCTTATCAGATCATTATCCTTTTATTTTTCATTTTTGAGAATTGGGATCATGGTCCTTAAATAATTACTCTCAGAATGCATTTTTAGTTGGTAAAAAAATTAAGCTAAGTTATATATATATAATTCACTACAAGAAATTTGTTAGTTTGCAATGGTTTTTCAACAAAGGTATTTAAATCCTTCTTTAAAACTGCGAATTAGCGACGATTTTCAGCAATTCCTAGCTAAATTTTTGTCATATGTTGGTATTTAGTGATGATTACAAAATTGTCACTAATTCAAACTAATTAAACAATTTTTAGCGACGATTTTTTACTAGACCATCTCTAAAAATCATTTTTTTGGGGGGAATTAGTGAGGTTTCAACAAAATCGTCACTAATTTCTAAAAATTTTATCTTTAGCGATGGTATTCGAAAACCGCCTCTAAAAATGCCATTTTTCGAGTGAATTTAGCGATGGTTTTTAAAAACTATCTCTAAATTCCTTAAGATAAACCCTTGAACATATAATGTTTTAGCGACGGTTTAATGAAAACCATTGCTAATTTGTTATTGTTGGAGGAAAACAAAATTTTTTTTAAAAATTAATTTTTAGTGATAGACCAAAATCGCTCCTAAATTTTAAAATCCCTAAATACCTACTATCTAAAATTTTTCCCATTTCTTCATCTTCGTCTTCAATAGCTCCACCTTCCTCCTTTCCCCTCCATTCATGCCGCAACTCCCTCCAAACTCCCCTTCTCTCTTATTTTCTTCTTAATTTCGCTCCATCTCTTCCCTTTTTCCCTTTCGTTTTCTTCTTCTTTCTCTCATTTCCTTCTCTTCCTCCCTTTCCTCCTCTTCTTCGTGAATAGTGCAACAACAGTAGCCCCTCCTCCTCTTTACTTGTGATTTGGTAGCAACTCCTTCTTCTCTCCTCCTCCATTTATGTAATTGGTAACTCTTAAATTTTTTTTTACCATTTATTTAAATGATTTTATATTTATTGTTTTATTATTTATTTGTTAATTGTTAGTTAGTTTAATTTGTTGTGTTGTTAAATTTAATTTGTTAGTAGTTAATTAAATTAATTATTTGTTAAAAAATTAATAAAGTGTTAGTTATTTAATTATGTGTTAATTAATTGATTTATTTGTTAATTAAATTAAGACTTCATGGTTTGACAATTACCATGAGTTTCTACCGTAAAGTTATCCATTTAGGAGGAATAGGAACGTATAAAAAAATATAATTGTTATAGACATTGCTCCCCTAGTCATGTCCGGAATGGATATTTTGCGTGAAATAAAAAATTAGAGGTTGATAAAAATCATGAAAGAGGGTTTCAAAGAGTGTAATAGCGAGTATACCTAGAGTAAAGAAACGAAGTATATTATGGGACCTTCCTTATTAGAGTTCCAATATAATTTGGCACAATTTGGATGTGATATACATTGAAAAAATATATTCGATAATGTGTTTAATACGATTACGAGTGTGTCAAAAAAAACCAAAGACAATGTCAACTCTAGAGAAGACTTGAAACTTTATTATAGGCAACCATATTTAAAAATAAATGAGGACTTTGGAAGTTACCCTAAAGCATTTTAAACCCTAAACAAACAATAAAAAAATAAAATTGCTTGAATGGCTTAAATAACTCAAGTTTTTCGACGGATATGTATCAAACTTAGCTATATGTGTCGATATAAACAACCTTAGATCGCATGGCATAAAGAGTTATGATTGTCATGTATTTATGCGAGAGATTAATACTTGTTGCATTCTCGTGGCCTATTACTAAGAAATGTTTGGTAAGCACTAATTGAGTTAAGCTTATTCTTTAAGGAATTGACTTCTACTATTATTAAAGTTGAAAATATGAGCCATCTCGAGATAAAGATACTTTTAATTTTGTGCAAACTTGAGTGGAAATGCGTCAAACTTGACTAGGTGTATCGATATGAACAATCATATGGCATGAAGAGTTATGACTCGTCATGTATTCATGCAGAGATTAATACCTATCCCATTTCGTGACCTATTACCGAGAAATATTTGGCAAGCATTAACCGAGTTGAGCTTATTCTTTAAGGAATTAACTTTTACTCGTTATTAAGGTTGAAGATATGAGCCATCTTGAGAGAGAGATACCTTTAATTTTATGTAAAATTGAGCGAGATATTTCCATTGAGTTTCTTTGACTAAACGGAACATCTTTCAATCCATTTGGCATATGAAGGAAAAATAACATGACCGAGTATAATGCTAATGGGTGTATCTATTTGAAAGGTAAATATATTAATTTTAAATCATTGATTAATTTTTTAAAAATATTTGTAAACTAACATAGGTACATAATACATATATGTTCGAAACTAAAAAACAATGTAAAGAACAAAGCAAGAGTTGAAGGATCAATATGCAATGAATATTTAGTTGAAAAAGCATCAACGTTCGTTCGTACTATTTCAAGCATCAAAAAATGTCATGTAACTTTGAGTGTGCTCGAGAATGAAATGATGATATTGAAGGGATGCTTGCTATATTCAAACCAAAAGGCCGATCTTTTGGTCAAGCAAAATTACATATATTGATAGAAGAAGAAAAGCTTGTATCACATCCCTATATTTTATTGAACTATGATAAGGTCACATCTTACATTGAGTAAGTGCTAAAATTAGCAAAATTTTCAATATTGAACTTCATTAATTATCAATTATATATAATAAAGACATTAAAAATCTTATAATTATTTTTTCTTTGATAGGTATTTCATGAAACAACTTCATCAAAGTAATCTTGATATATCGAAGCACAAGGTTGATGCTCGATTTGAAAATGATTTTGCATTATGGTTTCGTCAATATGTGAGTAAAGCACGACCCAACTTAATCACCAACTATTACATTAAAGATCTTGTAAAAGGACCATTACGAACTAGGATATATTGTGAATAGCTACAAATTTCACATGAAAGGCCATGGTTTAGATAGAGTAATAATATATAGTGGAGTATGAGTAAAAAGAGTTAATTACGAGTGTTGAGGAAAACCACTACTACGGTAGGTTGAATGATATACTAAAACTTGAGTATTATACATTACCAATCAAGAGAACTGCATTATTCAAATACGATGGTATGATACTTCACCTAGCATTGGTTCAAGGATTCATGATCGATACGGACTAGTAGAGGTATATAGTCATAGGAGGTTGAACAAATCCGATCCTTTTATCCTAGTAATACAAGCACATTAAGTGTATTATACAACATATCCAATATCAAAATACATCATGCGCAATTGATTGGTCGCATATAAGGTTAAACCGAGAGCAACGATGGATGTGCCGGAATCATTTGTTACGGTCCAAATAATTATAGAACCATTTTAGAAAAACAATATGGAATACCAACATAATAGCATCCAAGTTAATGACGTCAATCGTTGATCGATCCAACTGGATTGTTAATAGATTTAGAAGGAGATGGAATTAATGAAGAAAATGATGTTGAATTTGAAACGAGATATTGAGGAAGACTTTGATGCAAACTATAACGATGATGATCGAAATAATGATTACCGGTAAGATTTGATTATCCCCATAGTTTAATTTAAATTGTTAAGGTAGCATATATATGTTTTTGTGCATGTGTGTGTATTTTAATTTAACTATAAAATTATTTTTTATCACAAAATAAATGTATTTTAACTTGTTTATTGTAATATAGATGTTTTATAATTATTGTTTTTAATTAATTAATTAATTAATGTGATAATGTGTAGGTTATTCCTCGTGGTCGAACATGAACGAGATATTTAAGAGAGCTATTAGAGTTGGAGATGGTAAGAGGAAGAGAATGTACGGACTCGAATCACAAGCTTCTCATTATTAATCTAATGTCGAGTTCATCATCTAGTTCAAACACATCGTGGGTCCATATAAATGAGCAACTTTGAAAGGAAATGGAGGCTAAAAATGTTAGACATGAAGAAAAGATCAAGGACCTTAAGCGTACTGTTACATCCCTCCTAAAAAGTCAAAAGTAGTTGGAGCGAGTATGCCATGCTGCAGCGAAATGCTATTAAATATGCAAAAAGGTAATTCAAGAACCAATCATTTGATTGACCATCATGCATCGGATGAAAACATTGATTTGTCATGACATGTATCCTCTTTATCGTAATATTTTTTTTTATTACTCTTATGTTTTTATTTGCTAGAATATTAGTACATTTTAATATAATTTAGTGTTTGAATATATATTTTATTGGATTAGAATTTATATATTATAAAGGCTTCGTATTATTTATAAATCAATTTTATATCGTTATTATAGTTTTTAAATTGGATTAGATTTGATATTTTTAATCGGCGATATGGGAATAATGAAATAATTAACTAAAAATATCATACTAAAATGATTTAGAGACGAGTTAAAAACCATCACCAAATTCGTCTCTAACTTTGGCCATAATTAATGACTATTTAGAAAAAATTGTCGTTAAACAATCACAAACTTAGCGATGGAATACCAACATAGTACAAAAACCATTGCTAAATTGTCAACCATGTCCAATTATTTAGCAATTTTTTTGGGATTAGCAACCGTTTGTTCGTCGCTAAATTAGCGATGGATTAACAAAAACCATCGCTAATTAATTAGTGACAAGGTTTTTCACGACATCTTTTTACCATCACAAAACCATCGCAAATTAAAATTAGCGATGGTTTTTTAACATTTAACAATGGTTTAAATTGTCGCTAAATGTTTTTTTTTTTTTTTGTGATTGTGATCTTTTTTTTTTTTTTTTACCCAAGTATCCCAATCTCATATTGGAGATATAATTAATCATGTTCGGAGTGAGAGTGACAAAATTTAATCCCTTTCAATAAGTATGATTTCAAGATATGAACCCTACACATTTACGGAAAATTTACATAGGACCGACTCGTTTATCATTAGGCTAACAACTTGCCAACAACTTATTAGTTAATTGTTGATCATTTTAGAAAAGATGTTTGGTGCATTGGTATATGATAAATTAAAGGATGAATTGCTAGTGAAAATGATTAAAACTAATGATGATTGTGATAAAATATAAAATGAAAGGTTATCTGAAGGTATTTTTTCGAAGAAAAAAGGAAGAAGTAATATATACTTCCACCCTACAACAAGGATCATGGGATAATTGTCCTTTCTTTTCGTCCTTTGATCTCCCCTAAAATTGAATCTAACATGGATTATAATATTTGTGTAAGTAATCGTAATCCTTAATTTTAGTCTTGTATCAAACGTATAACTTTTGTAGGCAAAGACATCAAATCTGCCAATTATGCATGAACAATACTTACATTCACTAATCTTTTTATTTTATTGTTCTTTGTTTTTTTCAACTATAAGAAATATGTTCGAACTAAGTTATAGATTAGTCGAGATTAAATATATTTTTATAGCAATTTTAAAGATGGACCCTCCACATCTGTTTAATATAATTAAAAATTTAATAAATTTTTTTGAATGTTGATTCTGAAGTTTGAATCTAAAAAGTCAAGGGAAAAAAAAACGTAGTTAGTCACCAAAACAACCTCCGAATTCATTCATTACACTAACCTAAACCACCAATGAAATGTAAATAATAAGATGAAGAGATTAGAAAAAGAGTCAAAACTTTCAAAACATCTCTAAGGTTCCAAGTTGTTAATTGATGAACGAGTCACCAAACAAGAATTCTAATTGGAATTATATTGTTAACCATATGCGGTGCTGTAAAACCTTTTAATGGCGCTACCTTTGAGAATTTTCAAGAGTCCATGGTTGCTAGTGCACCTAGGAGTCTTGAACTGGCTCAATGCTGCCCCATTGCCTATGAAATAGTCCAAGATCTTCTTGAAAGTCCCTTTCTTGACGATGCAAAGCTCTAGAGGTCCAATTGAATTGGTTCTTCTCGATACCACATAGCCATGATCAACAAAACATGCATCCATTTTCTTGCAACACTCACCAAGAAGCTCTTCCTCAACTTCTCCTTTGATTTCCCAGTAAATTATGTAGTGACCTGGCTGTGTTTCTACCTCTGCATGGCTAGTAAAATCCACAAGCTCTGCTCTAGCCCTGCTCATGAGCAGCTGAGACCCCTTCTCCACCACTATTTGCAAATCTTTTTCAGTGTTCTTGTCAATGTTTATGGTTAAAATTAGCTTTCTCCTGCATATAAAGTTCAATTTTGGTGTCCCTTTGTGAAAACCAGCCACTTCCACCACATCCCCTAGCCTGCATCTATAAAGCCCTGAACAAATAAATAAATAAAAAAGTTAATCAGTCAACGTGAAATATTCATCAAATTATAATAAATTATTGTCGGGCACCTCATGAAAAAAATTAAATTGTATTTTTTATTTTATTTTTATTATTTATTCATTCTATGTTCCAACTCAATGGACTCTAAAGTGACCATCTATCTCTTACCCAAAAAAAAAAAAAAAAGGTCGAAAATCAAACAAAACCATGATTTCGAACGGGTAGAATGTTTACACCTGGCTAGAAACAAGAAACTGAAGAACAGTAGTCGAAACAATGACTTGTTTTTGTCTTGTGACCATAGAAAACTTACTTTTAAGTTTTTGGAACCAGCTTTCCTTGACTAATTCAAGAATTAATACATCAATGTTGAACAAACAAAAATAATGTAGTGTATTTTCTAGATTATATGTGCTAGGACAATTTGTCCATCTCCATGAAAGATACTCAAATCGATTCTACCTGCCAATTTAATTAATTGCCATGTGCAATTTGATGAACATATCAACCTACAATAAATGGGGCTGGAAAAACTGAGGATACTAATGGAAAATATAATAGCAAGGGGGGGGGGGTGGTGTGGTGTGGAATCTAAACTTACCAGTAAAAGTAGTGAGGACAATCTCATATTCTTGTCCAACCTTAAGCTTTGAGATTGGCACTGGCTCATCTTCAATGAAGTCATCAATGGCTGAACTACAGCAATCTTGATTCTCTCTATAAAGTGGCATGAACTCAAAATATGAAAAAGTTGGTATTACTGCAAAAGTAACATCTTCAGGAGGCAAATAAGGATCGATATTAGCTCCAATCCAACTCTCAGTCGATCCATAATCAGCACTTACTAATGGCAAGCCCCCAGAATAATGCCTTAGTTTTTGTAAGTAAGGAAGCATTGAGCCTGTCATTATGGAGTAAACATACTTGGCATTTGGCCAAAGCTTAGGAATCAAACCAAGCCAGTTTCGAGTTTCCAATTCCTTGCAGCTTTCTTCTATCTTTGAAGCTAAGTTTGGATTTGGAGAGATGATAGCCAACACAGCTTTTCTTATCTTCGGCAAGTTGATCCTTTCGCTAAGAGTGCCTTGTTTAATGTCATTGCATATTTCTCTCCAAACATCTTCAAATGCTCTAAAGGCTTGAACTATGCTATAAGAAAAGGTAGAGGCTACAAACTCTACTTCGTCACAGAAGAAGAGGCCAAGGAGAAGATGACAATAAGTAGATTGCTTGTAGTCTCCACCAGAAATGACTTCTTCTGGGCTGCAAGTGAAGCACTTTGTTTTTTCTTGCTTAATCTTAAACTCTTCACTTGCATAATAATGGGTTGTAGCTGTTCCTACTGTCAATCCTCCTTTCGTTTTGAATTGTTTACTGCTGTATATGAACTCAAGGATCCTTCCTCCTTCCCTTATTGGATAAACCCTATAGCCATCACATAAAATAAAGAGAGAGTATAAGAAAATAGATACTTGGGCCAGTTTCTTTTTACAATTCAAAAAACACAGTCTACTTTTTTCTCTTTTTCCCCTATTGTCCAATACTGGGGATTACACATTGTATAAAGTGTGGTTATCCACCTTTTCTTAACTTAATTGTGTTCTTCAAGTACCATACAGTTTTGGGTTGTGTCATGTGAGCAAGAGGGAGAGAGATTGGTCAGACCTTGATCTGTAGGCTGCAGCCAAGCTGAAAATCTGAAGAGTTGTTCGGGCACTATGGTCAGTGAAAGGAACAAACTTCTGCCTTCCTTCTGTGGTTCCAGAGCTTAATTAGAGAAAAATGTAACCATGAACAAAATCAGAATCATCCAAGAAAGTGAAAACAAATCTGAAAATATTCTCATACACTAATGGTGGAAACATGGGCTATTAGAATCCTTTCAACTCAATGTAAAAAAGCTGAGCTTTTGTAGGCAGTAACAAATCAATCCCTTTATAACCTTAACGTATATATCCCATGAAGTCAAAAAAGATAAAGAAAAACGAAGAAGAGCCAAATAGAGCCCACAACTCATAATACTCAATATATTCTGATTCCATTTTCCACATGGTATCTAGAAAGATAAGCCTATGCTATAGCAATATCGTCCAAGCATCCAAAAACTGACAAAAAAAGAAGAAGAAGAAGAAGAAAGAAAAGGTAGGAAGAGGTAACATACCTTAAGGAGAGAAGTGTTATAGGTTGTTGAGTGAGCAAAGGAACAGTATCGCCTTCTGCAATTCTGCTAATGTAAGGCTCTAAATCTGCATGGGAAGCAATAGGCACCAAAGAAGTGTAAAGAGATTCCAATGCACTTGCATCCATATCTCGAATATTGATATCCCCTAACCATTTGTTGAGATACTCCACACCCCAGTTGAGCTCAAGAATTCGGCGAAGAGTCTCGGTCTGAACGTGGCCGGCTCTCTCTGATACGTCCTCAAACCAACCGATAATGTCATGCTCATAGCTTCTCGATGGTCCATTGGCGCTTCTCGGTTCCATGAAGGTGGTGGAGCTGAGGTATCTAACTAGATAAGTTCAGTAGAAGTATAAACAAGTAATGGAGCCACTGTAGACGGGGGCAAGAAGTGGGGGACAATCTTTGTACGATAGACAGCAACAAAAGAGAGGCCACTAATGTAGAAATATCTCGTTCTGTAAATTATGAAGATTTTATCTTGAGGTTTGGTCCTTTGTTAAAAAAGCTCAGCAAAATCGCTTCTCAATATACTGCAGAAAAACTCCATCTTGGAATTGTACGATAGGTTTTAGACCACAAGACGTGGCCCTGTTATCAACATGGGTAGGCCGAGAGATAGAGATAGAGATTCTTGATTCGAATGGAGAAGAATGCGACGAGGGGCCGGGACCAAAAAAAAAAAAAAACTAACCATTATATGCTTTTTTTTTTTTAATATGAATATTCGAATTAGTCTACGAGCATCTCGATTAATTTCATGAGCTTTAAAATTAACGATTATATAAATCTTTAATGATCATAAAAAAAATAATCAAAATTCGAACCAATATCATAAAAATAGTAAATCTCTTGATATCAAATTCTTGTAGGTGCGCTAGGCTGGTGGTTAACCATTATATGCTTTCTTAGACAGCTTGGAATCATGCTATAGATTTTCTCACCAATTTACAAACCCACCATTTGAAAGTGACAATATGTGTCTCATTCTGACTTCATAGTTGGTACCAATTTTCCACGGTAGCCTCCCTCTTTTGCCTTGGGAAAAATCCAAAGGTGGTATAATCATTGTTGGATGACTCCAATGTTTAAATATTCATTTTAAATTTATTTCAGCCACTCTGCTTTCTCTCTCTGTTTGAAAATAAGGTGCACGTTTTTTTTTTTTTTTTTTTGTAAAATTTAGTCGAAAAAAAAAACTTTTTTTTTCCTGTTAAGGAATAGTATAAGAATCAAATTATAATAGATTTAAATTCAATTTATTCAATAATCGAATCTTATAGATTCGCATTAGATTTTAAACATATGATTTTGAATCTGAATTTTAAGAGGTTTGGATTCGATTTGGAGTTTTATCAGATTTATTATTTTTTATTTTTGTAAAAAACTTATATTTACTATATTATTTGAATATAAAATATATTTCAATCACTACATGTATAATAAAATATATTAAAATAATATTTCATCTATCAATTTTGTAAAAAAAATCAAAATACTACACGATTCAAAAGCATAAAATCAAATAATTTTAATAAAATTTTGTCTTGAATTAATTAGGAAGTATGATAAAACTAAATGAAATAAATAATAAATAATTTTTATTTCTTGTCAACGTGGTAGCAAAAATAGGATGATAATAAATACAATAACATCAATTTTTAAAAAGGTATATAAGTCAATTTATAATTTTTTTTCATGAAATTAAATTAAGAAAATGACAAAAAAATTTATATGTGATTTTTTTTAAAAAAATGTAGTCTTCACTGGATAAGAATATGTGCATTATTTAAAATTTATAATAAATAAATTATAAATTTCAACTTAGTTTCTTTTTTATATTTTTTTTGTATTTAAAATTTTAATATTTTAAAAATATTGTTTTTAGTTTTAGATTCGATTATTATCGGATCGGATCAAAATAGATCTAAATTTGATTCATTCAATAAACATATTAATAAAATCAAATCATAATCAAATTCAAATAAAAAAATTGTTTATCAAAAATTAATTTAATTACACCGGATTCGAGTTGAATTTACAGTCCAAAATTGTTATCAAAAATTGTTTATCAAATAAAAAAATTGTTTATCAAAAATTAAATGCAAAGTTGAAAATTGTAGACATATTGGAATGGAATTTGTCTCTGTAATTGACAGCTTTTTCTTAATTTTGCTGTAGTGATTCTGCTTATTTTCTGTGTCCTTAGATTACGTACAGACCCATAATTTAGTTTGATGGTCATCTTTTGTAGGGTCACCCTCCGGTCTCCTCAATCACCAAGCACCATTCTTGTAGCTACAGCTGTTTTACTCTTTTAAGCTCAAGGTCCCCCAGTGTTCAATGGCTAGGCATACAATAATGCTGATCAATGCACATCAAGAATCCTCATCCAGATCCAGTTTTGAAGAAATTAAGCCAATGATGAATTATCCTTCTCGAAAGGAAAAGAAAATTATGAAGAGAATTACAGGTTAGTTGCAAGCCCAATTTTGTAAGTTGGTCCCCAAGATTTTGTTTTTTTCCTACAATATTGCTTGTCACCAAAAATATTTTCTTTTTGATGGAAAACGAAATATTCTTGTTGTTAAGTTAATTAAGCAATAAATTTGATGGATAATAAATTGGCCAGCTTGCTAACCATATCATCCTGGAGTGTCCAAAATTCAGCTTTTCTTAAAAGATCTTTTAGGTCCCAAATAATCATGATTTTATTTGAGCCATTCAACAGGTCTAAATATCTAGATATATATTGCTTTGACATGTTGACTTTCATTGAAGGATCCAAACAAAAGAAGATGCTTTAATCATATACACGATTTTGTTCATAACATACATCAATTTTATTGAATTGAATGAATACAAATGATTTGATAACATAAAGAAATTTCCCTTTTTTTTCAAGGTTAGTTTGTGCATATCAGGACTAAATCTCTTCAATCGATTATAATCAGGTCCTCGACATTGGTCTGGTGTATTCATAAAAAATTTCCTTTTACACCCTCCCTTTGGATTCAAACCTAAACTGATAACGTGGAAAGTAAACCGCTCGGACTCACGAGCCAATCCCTCAAGCTTTTGATAACCTAAAGAAGATGACAAGGAGCTTGAAGCACCTTACAGGAAGTTTCTGCTGTTTCACCTAGGATGGGAAGCATTTTTTTTACAAAGTAAACGAACAAAACATTTTCTTTCCAATTCCGAGAGGTTCTATTAGTTAAATAAGTAGGGACACCACCACTAATCACTTAAACAAATGATTTCGAATTTAAGTTTTTGTTACTATTCTATCGTTGTCGTTTTGTACTCTGACCGACAGAACAATAAGAAATTAATTTGGATCTTTCGACATTGGATATCCTAGGATATCCTAGAGGATCCAAAAATAGGCAGGGACAAGTTCCATGTGGGTTTCATGTGATCCCACTTGGAATGGAGTGCTTTCAAAATTCTCAGGCCAGAAATGGATGGATGCTAACTAGCTTAGCTGGTTAAAATACTGGGATTCATGTCAGAAAATCTAGAATCAAATTCCATTTGTCAAAAACATTTTCAGCAAGATATATTCATGAGTAATTATCTTGCAAGTGTGCAAACTGGATTTAGCATACTCTGGCAATAAGAACACTTCTTGAAAGACTAAACAAACCTTTGCCTTCCTTTTTCTCAGCATTGCCGAACCTAAGGACTGCCAGAGGTTGCCCTAACCCTGCAATTAACTTTCAGATTCCAGACAGAAACTTTACTGAGCTGAAAAATCAGATGTATAGTTCCCACTCTTCCTTCATCATATGTAGACCCACCATTGCCATTGAAAGAGAATGAACCAACGCAAATTGGCTGTAGAATTGATTGTCTGCATTGATAAACAGTGACAGAAACACAAAGGGACTACTCGAAACAGATAAAAGTACTTGTTGGTGGGGGACCGGACCAATTCAAAGAAAACAACTAATCTTGGCATTAAGGGGGCTAGTAAAGCCAATCAATCAGTTATCAATCTTTTAGCAACTTGCGGATGTGTAAATGTTACAAGAATCTGATCTGAAATATTGATAGGAGTGGAACCAACCAGGCTAAATCTGCCATGTAATTAGAGCTATTGACATTGCAAACAACTCGATCCACTTTGTTGTTTGCAGGGTCCTTTCCATACACAAAAACACAAACAAGGTGTGGCTTTGCAATGCATGGGAATGGAATTTTCGACACCTGAAGAAAGCAAGACCACAGAAAAGAAGCCCACTGGATGCTTTATATTCAATCATATCGAGACTTGCAAACTCGTAGCGAATCTAGTTATCAGCAAGAAAAGCAAACCAGGTGCTTTACTGAACAATTTTGTACTACTATCACTTTATATTCATATGAGGATTAAGCTATTACTTATGTTCATTTGAGTGGTGGGCGCAGTTGCAATATTGTTATCAATCACTGAAACAAATCAGGCTGAAAAAAAAACAGCAGCATTTGCTAGCACGAAATGTCTAGATTCAATGTCTAGATTCCAACATCAACTATTTAAAACGTTTTTCAGCAGCCCTGTAATGAAATCCACTTGCACATGGTCCCAAGGCCAATTTGCTTAAGCTCCCTGCTTTTGCTAGTAACATCCTGGACCATAACAGGTATAGCGACAACACAGCCACAAAGACCCTAAAATACAGCAAAATTTCACACTGAAACTTGATTATTATGCCCAAGAATGCAATGAGATAGATGCTTATCAATAAACAGACTCATAAGCTGACAAACAAGGGCAAATTACAACTCATGATTTGAAGCATAGAACTTTGTACAGAGCATAAAGCTAAAGTATAAACAGTAATCATATTGTTGCATGTAACATAGAGCAAAGAAGGGAAAGCAATCACATATATCTAGTTTCAGAATTTTACCTACATCCACAAGCAAAAAACAAGAAGACATATCGCTGTGTGGAATTGACTTTGATAGAGAAAGAAATGCTCCTTAGAATCACAATTAAGTTTGATATTGACCCACTGCTACCCTGGGCACATTTTTGTAACGAGAGATCTATTTTGGCACAAAAAAATCACATTTATCTAGCTAGATGAAGGAGAAAAGATTCAATTTCCTGCTCAATTATATTTCAGCCAACTTAGTGTTAAATTGATTCCAAAAACAATTTGATTTTTTCAAATCAAAATAAATGAAATCCATTCAACCTGTTATTTTTTCTGGATTTAACTGCCTAAAAAAAATCCAAATCGAGAAAAATTTGGGACAACACTGAAAAGGATTTCTCAGCTACTTGGAAGAGAAAAATTTGGGACAACACTGAATACTATATTGTAGATGGAAGTGTGTTTCTGACATTACGTAAAGCTTGACAGTTGGAAAACATAGCAGAAGGCCATGGCTTTAAAGAGAGTTCAGCAAGGTATGGTAGGTAAAATTACTGGTGGAAGTGAGCTGCGCATGAAACATCCAAAGGACCAATAGCAGACTGGGTGATCACTTGACACAAGGAGAGTTCTTGGTCAAGTATTGTCAGTTCGGAGGAAGGATCACTTGGATGCAAAGTAGACAGATATAGAACTGAGTTTAAGGACAGCAATGTAAAAGCTTCATTATCTCCCTTGTTTCTTTTTGGATGGGCCTTAATCCTTCCACTCCATAGAATTATAGCTATTCAAGCATGCTCTCCAAAAGATGTCACTTGAACTGAAGGTCCGGTGGCAAAGCTTCTTCATAAATTGAGTAGCATTATATACAAGAATGACCCTGAAGAGTCACTAGAAGGAACTCCATTCTCTAATTAATAGTCAAAAGCAAAATGCTCAGAGGCTTAGAGCCAAAGATAAGGCAGAAAAATCAACTTTCAACAAGAAACCGGAACTTCACTCGCCTCTTAACGCTACCCATTCTATCATACCCGATCCCAATCTTGCTATGCATCAACTTCAAAGCCAAATCTACATTGCCTGCTTTCCTCAAAGCATTGATTAGAACAGTGCGAACTCTCCCTGGAATTTCCCTGCCCCTGTCAATAATTCCATCAGCCAACTTACAAGCCTCTTTTATACGGCCTGCTTTGCACAACACATTGAGCATATCCTCAAAAGCTGTCTCAGGAATAACACCCATAGGTGCTAGTTCATCCAAAATTTTACAAGCTCTAGCTACCTTGCCTGATAAACAGAGACCAATAGAAAGAGCCCTAAAAGCAGCTGGAGTTGGTGTGATACCCTTATCTATCATCATATCCCACATCTTCAATGCCTCTTCATTTCTATGCTCTCTGAACAATCCATTTATCATTATTGTGTATGTATAAACAGTCTGATCACAACCTTCATACTCCATTCTCTTAAAGAGTGCTAATGCTTCATAGATCTTACCACATTTGGCAAGGGCGTCAATAAGAGCATTGTAGCAATATGAATCTGGAGGGCATCCTCTCTTGATCATCTGTTCGAAAAGTTTCTCAGCTTCGTCCACCCTCCCAGCCTTGCCAAGGCCATCAATTAGACTAGAATAGAACATGGCATTGACTGCCACTCCATTATCTCTACAGAACTCAAAATATTCCATAGCCTCATCCAATCTCCCACTCTTACACATACAATTGACAATGACCCCATAAGTAACCGCATCAGGTTCAAGCCCTTCCTTTTTCATCCTTTCAAAAAGCAACATCGCCTCTCCCATGTTACCACATTTTGCCTTTGAGTCAATCAAAGCTGTATATATCGCAACATTTGCTTTACATCCATTCTGAATCATCCTCTCAAAAACAGCATATCCCTCCACACATTTTCCCTCCTTACAGAGGCCCCCAATAACTAAACTATAAGCATGAGGCGGGATTTCCAATCCATTCTCATCCATTTCATGATATAAACTTAAACACGAGTCAAAATCTCCCTCTGCATAACACGCCTGAATCAAAGTCATATGCGTAATCTTATCCGGAGCCACATTTCTCAACTCCATATCTCTAAACTTCTCAAACGCTTTCTGGGTTTTCCCCACCTGACAATAACCTTTAATCATAGTATTATAAGTAACAACATCAGGTCCAATTTTTCCATTCTCCATAACCTCAAGAACACGCTCGGCAGATTCAATCAACATCGAATTAACCAAACCATTAAGCAAAAAATTATAGGTAAACAGACTTGGTTCAATCCCATTTTCCTTCATTCCACGCCACACCCATAACAACTCCTCTATCATCCCTAGACTACCAAAGCTCTTAATCAAAGAATTCACAGCATAAACATTCATCAAAAAGCCCATTTCTCTAAACTTACAAAACACTAACTTTACATTATCTAAATCACCATTTATAGCTAAAACATCAATCAAAGAAACATAACATTGAAGATTATGAGTATATTTCTTTTGCTTACCAGCCCAAGTAAAGAACTTTAAAGCAAGATCAGGTCTTTTTTGAATTTCCATAGACTTCAAAACAAAAGCTACAAAATTTGGTGATAACTTGATCAAGAACTTACTGCAAAAAAGATCCAATCTCGATTCCATATCCATAGAGCCATCTAATAAAAGACTTATAATTTGTTGAACCCAAGGGGAGGGTTTAAGGTTTTGAGGGGTTTCTGAGGCTATATCAGAGAGGTCATTGAAGGGCTCTATCCATTCTGGTGGAGGAAGATAGTTGTTGTCAGTGAAAAACCACCTAGGATTTGAAGTGAAAGTTGGTGTGGGGCGCTGTTTTGGAGGTTTTGATGAAGACCAGCCATTGTTGTAGGATAGGAGAGGTGGAAGCAAGTGAATGGTTGTTGCGGAGAGAAGGGAAGGAGGAGGTCTCAGTAGGGTTCTTCTCATCTGGGTTTTGGGGGTTGAGTGTCACCATGAGTGCTAGAAGTGGAAAATGTTTGACATCAGATTAACCAATAATTAAAATTTAAGAAAAAACTACGTACAAGTGGTCCCATGGTCTAGTGGTCAGGACATTGGACTCTGAATCCAGTAACCCGAGTTCAAATCTCGGTGGGACCTTTGTTTTTTCATCTTTTTTCTCTTTTTTTTTTTAACAAATGCTATTATTTTTAAATCCATGACAAAATTAAGATTTTTTTTTAATAATTAGTATTTTTGGTATTTAGGAGGTTAATCGGTTTTGGACTACATAATAAAGATTTTTTCTTCTTTTTTTTTCACAAATATTTTTTTTCCTTTCTCACTCCTTTTTAGATGCTGGAAACTTTCTAAGTTTATTTCTTTAATGTGACTAAATTCATGAAAAAATTAAAATTTTTCATTAATAATCAGTATTTTTGGTATATTAAGAGGTTAATTGACTTTGAACTAAACTAGGATTCCAATCTTATTTCAAAAATATAAAATTAATATGTTTGTACAAACAACTGTTTATATTTTTCACACTTTATATGTTTTAAAATTAGTAACAAAATTTCAGCTAAATTAGTATCTCAAACTATAATAAAAAATAATAATAATAAATAAACTGTATGGTAACAATAAAATATGATAGAAAAATATAAACAGTATCGTAACTACATAATATGGGTTATTGAAACTCATAACATGAACTTTAAAATCTAGATTTCAAATAAAACAAATAAATATGTATTTAGTGTAATTTTAATACAGAGTTTTAGATCGATTTTCTTTTCTACAATTTTTATGTATCTTTAGAGTTATTTTTTCTTCCAATTAAATATGACATATGTTCATCAATCATTTTTCTTTTTTATTGTCCACTCGGTATTAACTTTTTTTTTATTAAACCTTATAATGGAAGGGGGAAAATAGTATCCAACTTTATCTAAAAATCATAAAAGAAAATTTTAATGGACCTCCTGTGGAGATTTGCTTTCGAGTGGAGGAGGGTATAGAAGTTTAAAAATCACCATTAATGGATATAAAGATGGTTATAAGGTCAGAAATGCTTCATATAAAGAGAAGCAATTGATGTATCCTCTCATTAAATACAAGTTTAGCCCACAAACCGTGTTTCTCTTTAATGTAATCAAGAAGGACGTGATAAAGAAAAGAAATTTACAAATAATGCATCTTTTATTTATTTATTTATTCATGAGGCATCTCATGTCCAAAAATTTAGACTAATCATTCGTTATTCAATCAAACACATAAGACGGGACACAACTATCCAAAGATTTTTTTTTACACTCGAGATTGTTTGTTTAAACAATTAGAGCTTATTTTACTTAAATCAACCATCTTGGATGGTGAATGCTTCATTTTAGTTGTGGATTGTTTGTTTGAAAAACCAAGAAAAAAATTATTTGATTTTAATGTACAAAATTTGTTTAAACAATATCATTATTATTTTTTTATTCGATCATAAACTATATTTTTCGAAACAATTTACGTATTGAATGATTCTTACAATTGCATTATTTATATGTATTTAACGTATCAAGATAAAATAAATTCTCTTAAATGTTATACAAAAAATTTGAACTTGTAAACTAAGTAAAAACTAAGTAAAGGGATGTAACACACCTTCTTTACTACTAAATCAATCATTAGATTGTGCACCATAAACAAAAAAATAATTAAAGCTTAAGAGTTGATTAGTATGCAGCCAGGTCACGATTATCTTGGTAATATTCTAGCTGCAATATGAGTCCTTTCCTTCTTTTTTTTTTTAATTTCGAGAAGTGACATTCTTCAACTATTTTCGATAGATACAGATTAATCTTACAATAAAAAATTTCAAACTTTTCACGCTCTTGAAATTGAAAAAACAAACATAAATCTTTTAATGATCATAAAAAAAAAAAAACATAAGAAATAGAATTTGAATCTTAAACTTTATGCTAAAGGTAAAAACCTCCTACTACTTAGTCGCTTTTTGTGTTCAATAGGAATTTATCTTCGCAGGCTCGTTACGTATAGTAGGAGGCTGAGCCTATGATATGGTCTTAGACTCTTTATCCATTTGAGTATTTGACTTATTTGCATGTTAGGCAATCAAAAAGCAGCCAAATCCAATTATTGTTTACGTGGAGTGTATAGTTGATGAGTGTACGGATGATATCGATAGATACATAGAAGTCTAATAAGATAGTTAGAAAGATAAATATGTACTGATCTTTCAAAAAAACTATAATATTTTATTTAGATGTTGGATAAGCACAAATTATATCAATTTTAAAAATTTATTTAGAAACTCAGTATGCAAACGTTGTTTTTAAGGTCAAAATTCACTTCAATTACCCTTTTTTTCTTTTTTTATAGATTTTTTGTAATCCAAACCTGCAGAATCAATCCAGGTTGCTCTAGTTTTTAAGAATTAAAAATATCTATTTTGTTTTTTCAACTAATTTTTGTATTTCTAAAATTAATTTTATTTTTTAATTTAGTCTATAGTTAACTAGGATAGATTACTCAATGTGGTTGTAGGTTTTTTTGCTAGAAATATTCAGACCCATGAGTTTTTTATAATTTATCATATATAAAAAATTTTAATTACTAAACGTGAAATTTTATAATACCGAAGGTATAATTATTGTAATTTATTTTATTTTTTAGTCTTTAGTTAACTAGGATAGATTACTCAAGCTGGTTGTAGGTTTTTTGCTAGAAATATTCAGACCCATAAATTTTTTATAATTTATTATATATAAAAAATTTTAATTACTAAATGTGAAATTTTATAATACTGAAATTTTATAATAATGAAGGAATAACTATTATAATTTACTCTATGAAAAGAGATAAATATAAATAAAAAAAATTGAACTAACATAAAAACCTTTTTATTATATACTTTACGTGAATTGTCTAACTAATGTCTAATTTAATGAAAAAAAAATTGTCAATAAAAATCTAGTTTTGATATGAATTCCATTTTTGGAATTTGATCACCAAAAAGTCTCACGAAGTTTTCTCAAGGACGGTGAAGAAGATACGTGGTCGGAAAACCTCCTCAAAAAAGGTCGGCTGGAAATGCCGGCTTTCTGTAAATAGAGATCCGACAGATGTGACATGACGTAGCTCTTTTTCTTACACACACTTTTCTTCCACTTCAATTTCTCGACGTTACGGAACCTTCATGAAGAATGTGCAAAATTATCAAAAATAAGAAAACTATAAAAGTCTTTTATTTTATTTTGCAAAACACTAAGTGTGAAATATGAAAAGAATTCAATGTTAATCTAACCATTTTATAAAACATCTTAGGGATTGAGATTTTCTCATATTTCATTTTGTTATGTTTTGTTACATGAAAGAATTCAATGTTAATCTAACCATTTTATAAAACAAAAATTTTAGGGATTAATATTTTCTCTGATTTTATTTTGTTATGTTTTGTCTTATTTATTAAATTTAAATTGTTAAATTCATATTAAATGGACATGATTCGATATATAATAAAAATAACATTTTATTTATTTATTTATTTTTGTTAATTTAAGCCATCAAGGGATGAGATCGTATTTTATTAGAAACATAAAATTACCCAAATCTGCATTTTACATATCATCCATTAGCATGAATAAATGATTTTATAATCCAAGATAAGTGGTCTGAATCCAATAAATTTTATTTACTTAAATAAATATTTTCATATTTGAATCTTTTGAATCTATAAAAAATTTTTTAGATAATTATCTTCGTTTTGTATTTCTGAAAAAATAATAAAGGATTAATTTAAATTTTTAATTCTGAAATATCTTAAATTTCTCATCCGGATAGAATAAAAAATTATTATATTTTTTTCGATTAAAACACATTTTAAAATATAAAATTAAATATCAATAAGTTGTTTGAACAATAATAAACAAATTAATCTAAGGAGGAGTCGTGGAGTCGTTTTGTTTTAGTTTCCAATAACACTAATTTTATCATCAACGTGGGAGGAAGAATACTTTTTGATTAAAACATTATGTTAAAATATAAAATTAAATATTAATAAATTGTTTGTACAATAATAAATAAATTAATCTAAGAAGTCTTTTTGTTTTTGTTTCCAATAAAATTAATTTTATCATCAACGTGGGAGGAAGAAGATATATATATATATATATCAGAACACAAATTTTGAGAACTTAAAAATGGAAATTTTGTCCCTAAAATGCAAATGTTTTGAATTTTTTTTATTTTTCTTTTAGGTTTTGAAAAAATGACATCACCTTACTACGATCAAAGATCCAATCAAAATTCTCTTCATGGCCATTCTTAAGCACCTTTACCTCACTTTCTTCTGAAAACCTTAACATCATCCCATTTTCCATGGCCACTCTCAACACTCCCTGTTCCCAACACAAACTCTTTTCACTCTCCAAAACCCATAAACCCAGCTCTTTTTCTCCTTCACTTCTCCTCTCCACAAAACTTTTCACCAAATCCAGCCCATCAAAGGGCACAAGCCTCTCAACAAAAAAAACTAGAACTTTCATCACTGGATCACTCGCAGAAGAGAAAGAAGTTGTTACGGTCAAAGACGAACCTTCGAAAGACGAAAAAAACCCTTTTTTGGTTAATGGGTCTAAAGATTATGAGGCTCTTTCATCTTCTTCTTCTGTTGAGAGTGATGATGATGAAGAAGAAGAGAGATTCGTCAGCAGAGCCATTAATGCTTCTATTGTATTGGGGTTTGGTACTCTTGCTGTCTCTAGATTGCTTACTATTGACCATGATTATTGGCAAGTAAGTATTGCTTTTGTGACCTTAACTTCTGTTCTTTTTTCTTGTGATTAGTAAATGAATTCAGTTATGTTCATTCTGAACATGAACATGAGTGAAAGTTGTGTTCTTTGTTGTTTTGCTTTTGTTTATGATAAACGGGAGGGATTTTGTTATTTCATTTTTTGGTTTTTAGTATTAATTTGTTATGTATGTTAGAGAACTTGGATTGGTTCTTCATTTATGGTTTGCACAGAAACTTTTCTCTTTTTTCAGTAATCTTATGTGTGTGAAACTAATTGCTCAGTTTTGGTAATTTGGCTCTTAGAGTTTGATCATTTTTTATTGCGAGAATATTATTTCCTGAGGTTAAACATCACATGAATTTGTTCACAAATTGTGGGATATGCTTCATTTGATGTTTTCCCAAATTTAAAGAATAAAAGTTTTAGCTAGTGATGCAAGAAAATGAATAATTAAGAGACAGCTGAAAATAAAGCTTAACATCAACTTCCTTGCTATTTTTTATCGGTAATGAACAGAATTATTGTTCTAGTTATTGTGTTTCCCCCTTCGGGAAACTTTTCATAATTTTCAATATTTTTCAGGGATGGACCCTTTATGAGATACTCAGGTATGCGCCAGAGCACAATTGGATTGCATATGAACGAGCTCTCAATGCCAACCCCGTTCTAGCCAAAATGGCAATTAGTGGGATTGTCTACTCTATAGGAGATTGGATTGCTCAAGTAAGTTCTCTTTTCCTGTTGTATCGGCTCTTTCCCAAGTGGGTTAGCAGAGTTTTCTTCTTCTTCTTCTTTTTTTTTGGTTGATTTGTTTATATTGTTCTGAAATGCAGTGCTACGAAGGAAAACCTATTTTTGAGTTTGACCGGATTCGCATGTTTAGATCAGGCCTTGTTGGGTTTACTCTCCATGGATCCCTCTCACATTATTACTATCAATTCTGTGAGGTGATTATTGCTGTTTGCATTTTGTTCATTTCATTTGTTTATGTCATTTGGATGGCTGAGATTGTTTACATTGGTTTCTAGGCTCTTTTTCCTTTCGAAGATTGGTGGGTGGTCCCTGCCAAAGTTGCCTTTGACCAAACAGTCTGGGCAGCAATTTGGAACACCATCTACTTTGTGGTGCTAGGTTTCTTGCGTTTTGAGTCTGCAGATAATATTTTTAGCGAGCTGAAGGCAACTTTTTGGCCTATGTTGACAGTAAGAAGCTCTTCAAATTTTTCCATATGCAAGTTGTGAATGCTATAAATAAATACTGTCCACTGAACTTTCCTCTTGATTTCAATTCGGCTATGATACTAAAGTTGTTTTTCTGGGAAAAAAGCCATTGACTTACTGACTTTGAATCTGATTTTATACTAAGACTTATTTTATCAGTATTGTTCATTGCATTTTTGAATTTGCTATTGCCTTTTTAATTTAGCTAAATGTTTCTCTAGAACAAATGAATAAAGGGTAGAATGCGGCTTCAAGTTTCCATCTTGTTTATTATTTGACTAGCCTTTAAGGCTAGTAGCATCCAGCTGCCTTCCATTCTGCAGTTCAGGATTAAGGCTTTCTACAGAACCTATGAACTTGGGATCGTGAAGGGGACAGGTTAATAGCCTATCTGGGAATGCCCTTCATATCAATTGAGAGTGTGAACAAGAAAATTTTTTGAAGTTTGAGAAATCTGTGAAATTTTCTTGAAATCATTTTTATTGGGAAAAGAAAAACCTTGAACAGCTCAATGTACTCTAAATTTCAGTCATTTGTTTTCTACATTGCTAAAAGTAGCATGACCTACCTGCAAGAAAGAATATTACAATGGAAAAGGTCCAATTTTGTTGTCTTTATACCCTAATGTATTTTAAATTTTCACTGAGGCAATTTTTGAGGTGCATTTATGCTTTGAGGTTATTGTTAAATAACATTCAACTGATAGATTGTTGTTCATCTATTCATTGGTGTCTTGGTGATATTAAATTGTTTTCATTGATCTGCTTGATAGGCAGGATGGAAGCTTTGGCCATTTGCTCATTTGATTACCTATGGTGTTATCCCTCTTGAACAAAGGCTTCTTTGGGTAGATTGTGTGGAGCTCATCTGGGTGACCATACTGTCAACGTAAGTATCCATGATCATTGACCAGCTAAAAACAAAAGTATTTATAACCCACCGTCTCAACAATTAGACCTGCTAGAATGGCTGATCTCTTTATTGCTTGTTTAATTTGCGAGTTTTATGACTTTATAAATAGGGTTAAATTATAAATATATATTATTTTTTGCTTCCTTCTTTGCTTATGACTTGTGCATTTTTGGTGACTAATTGGCCGCGTAGTGTAATAAACATATATTTAAGGGTTCCAATTTCCAAAGCACTTAGGACCCCTGGCATAAACCATTGTGAACTTGAAAGGAGCTTGCCCTTTATTCTTACTGTTTGTGAAGCATTGCATGTGTTTCTTTGATTTCTTTTTCTGGTAGTAAAATTGTGCTATAGCCTTTCTTCTATGTCCTGCCCTTTTGAAAATGCTTCACTGATTTGCTTTTTAACGCCAAGTTTTCTTTCTATTGTAAGTTATTCAAATGAGAAATCAGAAGCTCGAATTTCTGAGGCAACCTTGGAGGCAAACTCGAGCTCGTCCAGCAGTGCTGATGAGGTACATCACAGCTAAACTTCTCCTTCAAAATAATTTCATTATGTATACAACTATATTAATACTCGGAAGTCCATTGACTCTGACCTATCGAACCCAAAATAACTGTTCCTCTGGATTTGCATTTAGTAATTGAACGAACCTACACTGTAGGCCAGCGGAAGCATAATTTTGTAGAGTTTCATTTTGATATGCATTTGATTTTTGGTTTCCTATATGCTGATATGCTTCCCCTTTAACTCACCTTGCAGAAATAAGTGAACCGGAAAAATCACGTCCCGACAATAAGGGTGGTGTAATAGTTGTCAGTAGGCAAACATGTCTCAGTGGCAATATGCTGTATATTGTATACTGTAGATGTCGATATGTACATTAATATTGTTTTGGGTGAGGCTTGGCTGGTGCAACAGCAAGATTGTTCTTTGCAACCTGGAGCTTGCAGGTTCAAACTACAGAAGCAGCCTCCTGGAAGTATAGGGATAAGGTTGCATACACCCTGCCCTTCAAAAATAACCCTTGAAATTCATGGAGGCTCATGCATCGTGAGAAATTATTACACAGACCTATTCTTCCAACTTAGTCATGGACTTAGCCTATCCGAGAATCACAGTATTGAAAGATGGTGCTAAGGAGTAAATGAAACGTACGAATTTCCTTCTCTTCTCAAGATTGTTACGTATTAAAAATGCTAAACATTAAGAAAAAACTTCAAAAATATGCATGTTTTTGGGTCAAAATCTTACCAATCAAAAGACCTATTTGTATCCTTTTTTTTTTATTATTATTATTTTCTTAATGTGTAGCATTACTCATTTAGTATTTTTGTCTACAAATACGCAGACTGTGAAATAAGGACAAGAAATCACCAATGGTGTCCAGTTGAGAACTGAATTATGGTACTAGTTAAGGTTTGTTTGGGAGGAGCATATTGTTTCTTATGGTTGGGGAGTCTATGTTTTTATTCTAGCCTCATGGACAGACTTAGTTGATGAATGAGCATGCTCTTCATTTTATCCATGAAAATGCATTTTCTCATGAATTCCTTAATCAAGATCTAAATAACTGTCTTTAACCAGACTAAAAAGGTTATCTTAATGTCAATAGAGGCCTGCTATAAATATATGGCTAGACTCTAGAGGACTTGGAATTGCAATGATGCTTCCTTCTTCCCATAATTGGGTACAAGCATAAGCTAACTAGTTTAGTTATTACTAGTTTAGTTTTTTCACTTATGACGCGTTGTGAGCTGAATAGAAAACATAAAATTATTTCAATTTAATGTTTCATATTATATTATGCGTCTATCAAAATGTATCAAATCAACACTAAATAAAAATTTATTCGATTTTATAATTTTTTAATCAAAATTTTATATTTGATTAATTATTTTTTATATTTTTATAAGTTTTTTTATTAAAAAATATTATTTATTTATCTCTATTTATATTTTTAGTTAAAAACTTATTTTGTAAACTGTTTTTTTCTAAAGATTCTTTTACCTTAAAATTTTTAATTAAAAAAACAAGTACCAAAGTGTTCAAAATGAAACAAAAAAGAGGGACAAAAATAAAACAAAAAATTTTGTGGATAAAAAAAAATAATGTTTTTTAAAAAGAGGATCAAAATATAATGTCATGAAAACTTTCATAATAAATTCCTTAAAAAAGTTTGAAAATTACAAAAAATCCATAGTAAAAGAAATAATGTATATGAGTTTGGCTTAATAATATTTAAAACACTATCAATGAATATTAAATTAATGTTTTGATTTAGGTTTTTTTTTGTTAATTAGTTTCATTTATGAGCGAGTACTATTCAGTTTAAACAAGAATACCAAACTGAATTAAAGTATTAATTATTCTGCATTATCATTTAAGATTTAAATCTAAAAAAAAAAAAAAAAAAACACAATGAATTATTTTTTCGCTTGTCACTTAATTAAACTTTGGTAGATAAGAAATTTAGTCTCGTTCTACGAAATTTGATCTAAAAATACACTTATCGTAGAGGAAGAAAAAAGAAAAACATGAAGGAATTTAAGTGCTTTTTTACCATAGGACGCAGGTTACAACCAGAAAATAAAACTGGAGTGGGCCTAAAATCCATAAACCGTTTTGGATAATACATGAGTCAAAATTGCGCGGGACTCAAACGACCCAATTTTAACAAACCTCAAAATAGACAAAACTAAGCTCTGAGTCTATAGATCTCCAAATTGAACAACCTCTGTCAGATCTATCTGGAAACCCAACATTTGTTGTTGTAGAACAAGGATGGCAAAACTTGAATCACTCGATGATGATGAACCAAACCAAAGCAACGGCATTAACTACAACAATGATAAAAAGAAAAGAAATCATGGGTCAACCAAGTTTTTCGTTTTTGTGGATTACTTATTCTTCTGCATCTTTTTGGCTTTCCTTAGCTTCATTGTTTTCAAGATTATTGGTCTCTGATTTCTTATCAGGTAATTCTCCAACCCACCCCCGTCTTTTTTTTTTGCATGTTTGGTGGGTTTTATTTGGAGAAGCTAATACCCTATTGAGAGGACTGAAAGTTTGTAACTTTATACTTATGTGTAATTTTATTGGTTGTTAGAGTAGATGGTTCTTGTTGTGATAGCTTGAGGGCTTGAATTCCATTTGTGAATCATCATTTTGATGGCATTTTGATTAGCATGAGTCTTTGAGGGTAGAGTTTGTACGTACTTTCATGTTAATCTTGAATGATTTATGAATCTTTTTTAATTTCTTTCGGTTTCGTAGTTGAAAGGGCTGATTTTGGTCTATTAATTGGAATGGTACTTTGGAACTGATGATTCTAAGATTTGTTCATTCAAATGATGGTGATTTACTGTAAAGGTTAGAGACAAGATCATAAAATAGTACTCAAATGGGTAGCTCAAGTGTTAATGCTGTTAGGTTCTTTATTTATGTGTCCCTGTACTGAATCAAAACATGACTCTAAATGAGACAATTCCCACTTTTATAGCTACTAGATGTAGGGGGAATTGATATTTGGGACCTTTACTGAGTAGGCAGATTCTTGATTTATGGTTTTTTGATGGCAAACATGTGTGGTTGGTTTATTACGATCATATATGATGAAGTCTAGTGCACACCATATCTGGTGGGTAGATATGCTAATTAGTTCCAGCATACTTTTTTTGGGAATATTTTTCTAAAAGTAAGTAGCTACGATAATTTAAAAGCAGCTCAAAATGATTATTGCCTTCGTTTTTGTAGAAGACAAGTGAACACTGTTGACTAAGAAATTACTTCATTGCGTGGTTGATCTGAAGAACTAACAATGTTAGTTTACCTTTTTCATTCACTTCTCCTTGGTCAATGATAAGATTATGCTAGAGGTTAAATTTTAACAGAAATATCTACATACTGTCCCCTTATGTGCAGCTCTCTTGGTAGATTTCTTTTCTCACCTATTTTTATTCACTTACCCGGGAAATATTTTAATTTTTGCTGCAGATTATTCTTCGTGAAACAACCATTTCTCCATTTTGGAAGTTCCAATTTTAGAGGGCATCAGCGGGGGTTGTCTTTTCAGATACAGATAAGGATTCTAGGTTTTTTAATCTTTACTGATGATGAGAAAATATGTACTTCTGAAATGAAAAAATTCCCCTTTTTTATAAAAGAGAAAATCAGAATGGTTGACTATTTGGCTTTTTTCCTGTCATGTTTTGAGAGGTAGAACCTAGCATACTTCTGTGAATGAAAATACTATTCGGGATCTTGTGTTATTATTTATCATCTGCTCACCGTCTTTATTTAGTAATGTGATTTCTAGCCTTGGTTTACAATGAAAAAAGCCAACTTGATTTGCAAAAATCCAGGGAACAAAGGCTGCATTGGAGAAATTTGCAGTGTTAAATGTGATTTGTTTTTGTTGATTGAATTATTGGGTTGTCTCTGTTGAAAGATGTCTGGTTTTGATGTTTGTGAGCAAAGATGGTTTTCAAGCAAGGTGAAAATGTGTTACTGCCTCTGCTTGCACTAAGGATAGTTTTGAGTAGTTATACGGAAAGAAACTGGAAGCTTGTAGTGAAGTAGTAGGAAGAGATCAATGTAAATGTTGCTGACGTGGACAACGAACCACCTTCATTAAGTTTGGTTTTGAATAAAACTTTTTAAATCTGAAAAACAAAATCATATTGGTGGTGATGGATATGTAAAGAATCAGTGATTTAATGCACAAATTCTAGTTTTAACCAACCAAGGATGAGCTTTATGCATTAGAATGTTTGCTGTCTAATCAATTATGTCTTTTTCATTATATATTCAGGGCAAAAGGGGTCAATTGAGTCCATCATATTAATTGCATTTTTGTCATTAGAATGCTGGATGTGAAATAGATGTACTTTTCCTTTTCCCTTTCCTTTTGCTGCTTCCTTGCTTCTAATGAAAACAGAAGCTCTTTTCTTTTGTGAAAAAGCTTGTTTCAGAAAAAGTCCAGTAGTCCCTGCTTCTGCACTTACTTCTATTGAAAACTGTATATATTACACCCAGAGAACTACAAGAACAAAATCTCTCCACATCGGTGAACTGGCTGTGGAAAGCAGGAGCAAAACCTGTTAAAATGGCCAAGGGATGCCTGGAAAGATTAGTAGTAAGCATTGAAATTGATCCATCATTATTCTCAGGTAGGTCTTACCTGCAGAACCTTAATAAGCACAATTGAATAGCTAAGGATTTCAGTCTTCATAAAAACCCTACAAGTACAGTAATGCTGATATGGCTTTTGAGAAGGAAAACAGAATACATTTCTAGGGACAAACGTGGACTGGTAGAGGCAGCACACTTATTTCTATATAAGGAAGCTTAACAGACCCTGCTTCCTTACGACAACATCACTTGAATCCATGCATCTGGGATACTTGATTAAAAGATATAACACATGCAACTAGGGTAGCCATATATGTTAAACAGCAGCAGTCGTTGTGCTGCTCTCAAGGGTGGTTTACTGTGGGAACTCCACCTTCAGGAATTGGAAGGAATGTATCGTCTCCGCCGGGAATGGAGCTCCCAATGCCCGTATGTGGGTCATAAGAAGGAATGCTGGTAGCTGGCGGAATATAAGGAATGCTGGCAGTTGGTGGAATCAACACCCTTCCGATGCCTGGAATGAGAAAACTGCCATCGGAATTCAGGAAATCGGGCTGCTTCACATCCACATTCTTGGAGTCCTTCAGGATTTGGCGCCCTGCGAGTACTTCCCCAGATATTGCAAGCAGGAAAACGAGAGAGAAAAGAGACATCTGTGTTTTGGAAGCCATTTTATGACTACAAAATCAGCAGATACTATATTATGTTGCTGTGATTAATGAAGAACTGAGAAGAGGGTTGCTCTTCTTATATTCAGGATTCGAGGGAGTTAGGTGTAACTTTTGGCGGTGACTTAAGTGGTCGTTTCTATTTAGTTAAGACAGCAAGATAGTTATAACACATCCTTCTGTGGAATTTTCTTTTAATAGCTTGGAGGCTCTTAGAAGTGCATGTTAAGGTGGTTTCTTGAGACTAGTTGAGCTGACCTTGTTTACCTAATTTTTCATCACCAAGCCTTGCGGCCAATAAATTTGTCTCTGTTTTCTCTAGCCACGTATCTGTGTGACTAGTGATAGCTTGAGAGGGTAAGTGAGAATCCGTTAATGGTATGTCTGCTCATAACTATAATCGTAATTTTAAATCGCGGACGGATTAAAAAAACAATTACAGTTGTCATCGTGAATCATAATTTATTATAATTAAATTATAATATTAAAATAACGATAACAGTATATTATAAAATTATTACAAAACGGTGTTGTTTAAAACTATGATTGTACCTGTTCATATGCTCTGATCCTGTGATCCTGGTAATTCTCCATTTAATGCTCCTCTTTTTATCCATGAATAATTTGCTTACAACTATGTTTCACATAAACGTGAGAGGAAGCACCAAACCAAGAGGTCGACTAATTTACTGATAAGATGGTAAATAAAGAGTCCACAATTTCCCGCCACTCAAAAAATTGATGTTACAAATGATGTAAACGTATAAAAAATAACCGTTATTTCATGCATTGTTACTTTTAACTATGGTCCTGATGGAAATAGAACTCTTTAACCTCTCTTTCCAGTTTGTGCATTGAGATTAAATATTTTTAAATCAAGTATTGAAAGAGTAGATCCTCGAGTAATATAAAACGATTTGTGAAAGCTCATTCAATAGTCTAGTTTAAACTTCTAGATTGAAATGATTTTTTGATATTACATCACAGTCTTAATGACTAAACGATTACGAGTTTAAATCTCATCACCTCTATTTTCTTTTCTACATAATTCAACACAAAATGATGATGGATTTGTGTAAATTTTAAACCTAAATTTCAAATCCAAAATGTTTTCACTTGAAAAACTATATGTAACTGTTATGATTTTGAATCTTATCGTCCCTATCTTCTCTTCTACATAATTAAACATAAAATAATAGTAAGACCGTATAAATTTCAACCTCAAAGTATTTTCACTCAAAATCTCACCTACCGACTGAAACTTTTAAATTAAAATGATTATTTAATATTTTTTATTGATACAAAAACAATAAATCTCTTAAAATCTAGTATCAGGCAGACCATCTACTTTCTGACTAGTGCAATGACAAGAAATTCATTTATTGTGGCCTCCTATAAATCTGAATTCGAGATGATATTGTAGAAAGCAAACTCATTTGCCATCTTAACCTAACATCCAATTTAAAGAGGATTTTTGATGGAGGATTAGAATCTGAAGAGGGTCTTCCACTTAAATATGCAATGCATGAAATGACTACTCTCAATACTCTATAACCTGCACCATTGAAGTCCCAAAGTCCTGACCTTCGACCATCATACAAAGAACCCTACTAGAGCATAGCCTCTAATCTCCTGGCACATGTGAAGATCTATCAGTGACTGGTTAACAGGAAGAAAATCTATCACAGAAAAGCCTAACCCTCTTCCTTGGTGAACGCAAAAGGATTTATCTTCCAAAATGATCAATTTGTTTACTCGCCTAACAAACCATCCCTTTCTGGGAAGCAACTCTAATTTTTCTGCAGCAATGCAATCATGGTGGATCATTAACAGGACAACTGACGCAACTCTCCGAGAAAACGCTAGCCCAGATAAGAGATTTGGCCTCGCCAAGAATTTCATTCGGCAACTATGATGAAACTAATATAAGCACACTGAGAATCCGGACTGAATAAAATCATATTAACAGAGCTATGTTGATTTAGTTCAACTCTCTGAACAAAGCTGTCTTTCTACATTTCTGTGACATACAACAAAACAAGAGGCTGTGGCAATCATTTACCTGGACAAATTTTCAAAACACTGCGCCACCAGAAAAAGGGACTTTCTTTGAATATAATGAGGCTGAAGAGCCAAAATATTACAATGATGGCAGCCCCATTTCGTCCATGTAGATACCACAAAAATTATGGGTCTGGTCTTTCCTCGGAAAATCTCGGAAGTTGAACAAGTGAATTCACTCTTGTGACACCTTCCAAACCCGACCAACTCTGATCTTCAGCATTTATTGCTTCACTATCTCCATCCACTGCTAATCTTCCAAAAGTATAAGTATCATTTTCTTCTGCTGATCTGACAGTAAAATTTCTTTGCAGACATGGCTCGGATTTCTGTCCATCATCTGATTCAGCAGCATTACCAGAATGATTGCTCTGATCAAGTGTAGCTGAAGAAAAGCCTTGTTCATCATAATCAGATTCCGAGTCCATCTTTCCATCCAAAAATAAGCATACAACAGCACAGTCATCCATCTTTGAAGTTGGGTATTTGAGCTTCCATTCACGAGCAGCTGAGTCCACCAGAATTCTTGAGGCTGATGCCCGCGTTGGGGCTGAGGATACAATCTCAACCACCTCTTCGTTGCTCAAGACATCCCAAACCTGAAGCAATTCAAATCTCAACAGTTAACACAGAGGAACAGAATATATATATATATAAAGAACCATAACAAAGTTTTCATTCTAGTATTCCAAAATTGCACTGATATCATTAGCTTTGATATTGCATTACTGTTTAACATTTCTTTATTCTTGATGAATTTGGATAGATCTTGACAGGCTTTAAGAGTTCCACTACAATTCATATATTTCCAAATCCATTAACACGAATGAGACAACAGGAGAGTAGTCAGCAACGACAAAATAATCACAATTGAAGAGCGAACAAAAAAATCCATGCACCAAGAACATTTCACTGCTATTGAGCAGAATCTAATTGAGACTGAAAACTCCAAGACTTCGGCAATCTAATCAAAGGTTATGCACATGTTTCACAATCAGAACCTAAATATATTCAACAAATAACATCTGTAAAGTTTACACATGACAGGATTATAATGAAGTTGAATAATACATTTAGGCACACCAGGAACTTATTTTGACTCCAATGCTCAACCATACAATGATGCAACAGTATTTAAAGAAAAACATGACTGGTCATTGTACAAGTGTGTTGCTCGTAGCTGTCGTGGAATGCCAGCAGGGTCAATCGCATTTGCTACTTATGTTGGAAGAAACCTATAATTCAATGAACTATCATAGGCATCCATGTTCACATTGTAAGATAGTCCATTAACCAAATTAAGTTTTTTTTTTTTTTTTTTTTTCATGCCATTCAAAAAGTGTAAGTGCTTCATTGGTGTATGGATACACTTTAACACTCATCTACAAGCTTTCATGTCTGCCATGCAATTTACAGGACATGGAACAGTGTCCGAAGTCATTCACATGGTAACCATGGTCCTTGAACTTTTGTTGGCAAAAATGAGGACCTTAGAAATATCAAATCAAAAAGTTCCATAAACTGAGCATCGCAAAATAGAAGAAATTCAGATTCAATATTAACAGATGGAAAAAGAATTGCTAGGAAAAAATATAAGAGGTGAAAAACATACCCCATCTGAGGCAAGAACGATGAACTGATCCCTCTCTGTAAGTGTCCGGTGTGAAAACTCCGGCATTGATATCACTCCATATTCCTTCAAACAGAAATCCCCAAATGCCCGAGCCATTGCCAGGCCAGGTGCATCATCAAACGGTAACCAAACTCTTGGCACTTCAGGCTCATCTTGCAATGCAAACACTCTACCTTTACACCGCTTAATTCTTTCAGCTTCCCCTGCAACAATTTGGTTTCACATCAACTATTGAGTTTGCAAAGGTGAGCATACCACCAACATATATAACTAATGATAATGCATATGACCTACTTGGCAAATCAGGCTTCAGATCAACAGTCAACTGGACTGCCACCATGGAATCATTGCTGTCCTTGGATCCCATGATTGCACGGGAATCCCCAATATACCCCATGAACAGATTGGAGCCCTTTAAAATCACAAACAAAAATATGCAATAAGGCTAGAGCTAAACAAATAGGATGTGAAGGTAAGCTTCCTACAAAAGCTAAAACAAATGGAATATCAAGATGAGCTGCTCATCCTATAATACCTGTTTCACAATAGTGATAGCCGTGCTCCCACTGCAGAAGCAGTCCAAATTAGGATGGGATTTCAGCTCTTTGTCCATGGCCTTATATGACTTCAGAAATGCCTCTCTCCATAAAGAATTCAATTTATCTTCAACAGAGCCACCCTTGTCCAAATCCCCAACATCTGATTTCTTTGAATTCCCCATGAAACATGTTTGACCTGATCCATTTTGCCTTGACTCACAAGAGTTCAGGAAGGACTGTAATTTTACTGGCAGGGCATCCCTCACCTTGCGGGCAACAAGATGGCCGTGCGGACCATGACCATCAAAGACACCACAGAAAGTCACATCTTCTGACATGAAATCCTACAGAGATCCAAAGCGTGACTAAGAAATTAACCTCCAAATTTTATTAAAAGTTAATCTCAATGGAAAGGATAGAACTTACTTCCCATACAATCATTGCATCCTGGTTGATGCCCTTGCGGCCCTGCTGTGTGAATATACAAGAACTTCGGCTCTTTCCATTGGTGAAAACCCTGTTAGGTATGGATGGCAAATGCTGAAGTGTAACTACATGATCAGAGAATGTTCTTTTAGTTCTCTTTTGCCTGCAAAAACCTATCCCCAAGCAAGGGGAGGAATTGGCTCTCCATTGCTCTTACTACTGCAAGTACTCCGACTAGTTGAAACACAAGCCCCCATTTGCTCAACCCCAGAACAAAAAAGACATCTGTGGTGTAAATAATCGACAAGTTTCCTTCTATTGCCAGAACAGATCTCGCATAAAATTCCGAAATTTGCTAGCTAGTCAACCAAGAAAAGACTATCCAAAACACCAAAGATTCCCACACACAAGTCCCTTTACACCTCAATGTAGAAAACCATGGTCTTTTTAATCTTGGTCAAATACAATCCATTGGCGATTACGTGAATCAACATAAAACCGGCTGAAAACGAAAAAGAGGACATCTGTTAATTTATTATTAATTAAATACCTTGCTAGAAACCAGAAATGACTGTAATAACTAAACTCTCGACAAATCAAACAAAGCCAAATTTAATAATCTTCCATGTGAGCTTGGAATATAATATTCTAAAAAGGCTGTCCTCATATCTTGTCCTTCATAACGATTTACATTATTGTCACACTACTTGGAGAGATATACCATATAAGCATGTTATTTAATGAAAAATTGAAGCAAACAAAAAAAAGGTGAATAGGGAGCATAAAATTCAAGAACAAAACAGAAAACAAGAAACCTGTCTGTCGTGCCTAGTATAAAATGCATCAAAACACACTACAATCAGAACAATAAAATGGAATATTTTTCATTGATTCTCGAATTCTTACCTTTTATGCTTGAGTATCACAAGAGAACCAAAGAAGAGATCAAAACAAAGAGTTGACAACAAGTAGTATAATATTTGGCATAATCTCAATTAAAACCCTCATATTTATGATGGGTTGTCCATAAAAGGCTTAAAAATGGAACAATCGATACAATTTTGTAATTAGCTTCCACTTTATAAAAGAAACCCATGTGAAGCAATTCAGAATTAAGACTAGACCATTATTTCAAAGTAAAGAGAGAGGTAGAGAGAGCAAGAGAAACTGTAGAACTTTGAATTCCCACCAGAGAGAAAACCAAGAAGAGATAAAGCAGAAACAGAAAAGTAGGAAAGGACGAAACAAAGGTATGATTTTGTCAAAACAGAATCGAAATATGGCCTTAAAAAAGAGAATATAACAAAGATATCAAGTAACTATTACTTAATTATCTTTAACAAAGAGGAACAAAAAAAAGAGCAAAACAAAACAAAACAAAAAATGCACCGAGTACAAGAAACTAACTCAACCTCAACCTCAACCCCAACCCAACTCAAACTCTGTTCCCTCTTTGGCCACCCACAAAAAGTCTAAACAAAAAAGAAAAAAAAAGTATATAAATTCAAATTTTCCACTTTTGAAGAACCCCATTTGGTATGGTATACCAGAGAACAGAAAGTTTCAATTTTTAAATACAAAAACACCTCATTATCCATAAAGCATGTAGTATCTTTCCTTCTTTTCTCTTTTGAATTTCCTCATGTTTTCTCACTAACAAAACAGGGTTAGTTATTTAACACTTTAACAGTTAAACTTACATGTGTCAGATCCTTAAACCTCTTGCATTAACATTATCTTTGACACACAAAGCCAACTACGAAAACACAGTTGATATCAAAAGACAAGCAAAATTCCTGAAACGGGACAGAAAAAACTGAAACAAAGACAGTACCTTTAATTTTTTTGTTGAGAAGTGAAACAAGTTCAGATTTTAAAATCAGAAGAACAAAGCAAAACCCAGATAGAAACAAGATATAAGAAACTTCAGACAGAGAGAGAGAGAGAGAGAGAGAGAGAAGGGAGAGGGGTGGTTTATGCGTGTCTGCATTAATTGCTAAAGCAAGCAAAGAAGGCGAGATAGATGAAGTTGGCCGGCAGTAACTGTTGTGTTAATAGGTGTGGGCTCAATGCCCAAATCATGATTATTATTATTTTTTCCTTCTTTTAGATAATTTTGTTGTTAAAGGAAAAAACACTCGCATTTCTTAAGCGCGTTTAGATTTTAGAATTGATTCTCGTCAAAAACTTGATTGCAAAATAAAAAAAGGTTGGGAGATTTTTCAACGATCATGTTAGTTAGTCATAGTTTATAATTGTCATTATCGAACATTTGATTTGATTTCAAGAAAATTAGAAGATGTTCAATTAAAAATTATAAATATAATTATAAATTATAAATATAACCATATCGTTTAAAAATTTAGTAACAACCTATTTAATGTAGATCATATATATATATATATATATATATATATATATATAACTTAAATCATATATGTATAAGATTTGTTATAAATTGAATCATTTGTTTAAACATGTAGTTTGGTACAAAATTATTACTTTTGATTTTAAACTAAAAACATTTAAAACCAAATCCTGCAATAAACAGAATACAATAATTTGTTAAAAATTCTAACCAAAGTGAGACGTTGATTTTTCTTTCTCGTCGATTTAATATTATTTATTATATCAATAATCAACATAATAAAAGACATAAAGTGTAGTCTGAGATTAAAAATGCATGAAGACATAGATTTTGGCCATCAAAACTTTGCATTTATGGTGAGCTCATAATTGAAACTATTTAAATCTAGTAAGTTGAAACTTGATTTTTTTTTTTTTTTTTACATATTTCGAGATTAGTTTTTCCTTCAACATGATTAAGAGACTCTCGAATGCACGTTTTTTGATATTTTGAGAATAAATTTTGAAGTGTGCTAACTATCAAAATCAAATTGTGAATCTAACAAGCAAATTGACACTTAATCATTAATAAATTTATTAAGCTTAAATATTTTCATTTATCAAATGCTTCATCAATAAGAGTGTCTCAAATCAATTTTTGTATATTTCGAAATTAATTTCTCCCCGAATGTAGTTAAAGGGTACTTTTCAACTCACGATTTCGGATTAAATTCTCAAAATTACTAGCTATCAAAATCAAATTCTTAATCTAACTAACAAGTTGACACCAACGTACTAATAAATTTATGGAGCTTAAATATTTTCATTTATCAAATGCTTCATCAATAAGAGTGTCTCGAATCAATTTTTACATATTTCGAAATTAATTTCTCCCCGAATATAGTTAAAGGGTACCTAACTCACAATTTCGGATTAAATTCTCAAAATTACTAGCTATCAAAATTAAATTCTTAATCTAACTAACAAGTTGACACTAACGTACTAATAAATTTATTAAACTTAAATGTTTGCATTTATCAGATATGCTTCGCAACAAAAACTTAATTGTCATGTGAAGGTGTGTTTTACGCGTGAAGTAGAGAGTGTGAAAGGGAATACATTCAAGTGTGAAGGTTCAAAAATGCTTCATCAATAAGAATGTCTCGAATCAGTTTGTATATTTTGAAATTAATTTCTCTCTGAATAGGATTAAAAAGTAATTTTTAACTTATGATTTCAGATTAAATTTTTAAAATTACTGACTATAAAAATAAAATTCTTAATCTAATTAATAAGTTGGCACTAACTTATAAATAAATTTATTGAGCTTAAATGTTTGCATCTATCATGTATGCTTCGCAACAAAAACTTTATTGTCATGCTAAGAAGTTGTGTTTCGCACGCGAAGTGGAGAGTGTGAAAGGGAATACATCGAAGTCTCAAGGTTCAAAAGCGAGAGGGATTTCGCTCTTTAAGGAAGAAAAGGGACATGCCAAAAACTGACAGATGATTTAGGTCACGTGACGTGGCAGAATAAGGGGAAAAAAATTAATAAATGTTGGGGCCACGGAAAAGGCTTTTGCAAGTGGTCGAATTAAGCCCCACAAAAGGCTACAATCAGTTACCCTCCGTGTTAGCTTTGCTGTCCTCTCTTCTCTTTTTCATTTTTTTTGTAAAGTTGATGGGCCTTAGCTGGGCCTCTCTTGAAGATAATATTTCCTATTTTACTCCCATGCTCAGCTAGCTAGATATATGCCATAATCATTTGCGCCCATGCACTGCTCATATGTTTTATGCTTTACAATGATCCAATCTATCTTTCTTTAAGTTTAGACTTTTGAGTCCTCAATCCTCATTGCTCTTATATTAATTTTTTTCTCTAAAATACTTGATGAATTTAATATGAATCTAAAAAGATAAGTAATATAGAAGTAAGGCAAAATATCAATAAATTTTAAAAATATCGATAAATTTTAAAATATTTAATGAATAATTAACAATACTTATCTTATTTGTCCATTTTGAAGAGAAACATAAATACAAAATAAATAAAAAATTATATTTGGATTCATAAAAATGATAAAAAAAATATTATTATTTATGTTCGTTCTTGTTTCTCACTTCTCTTTATATTTATTATCTCGTGTGAAATAAGTATGATTAATTACTCTAGTCACGTAAAATTATTTCAAATGTCAATCAAATTTTATTAAAATTAATATTTTTTTTAGGTAAAACAATAGTGAAAGCATTAATGTTATTATATTAACTACTTTCTATTTTTTTCGTAATTATAAATGGATGGTGACCACTATGGGATTGCCCTTTCTCTGCAAAGCTTAATGACATGTAAAATCTTTCCCTAGATACTCCTAACCTAGTGCTCTTGGAGAGAAGCGGACCCCAAATCTTCTATCCCTATATATGTTTATAGATGCATCATGTCACCAACCATTGGGATGAGTTCGTGACTCTTAAGGCCTAGCTAAGTTGGATGGTGTATCTTTTACATTAATGATGCAACAACTCCACAAGAGTAAGTTATAAATTAATCACTCTCATTTCAAGAAATAAATTAATTAGGTAATTTTTATTTTCAAAAATAATTATTTGATCTTTATATTTTTAAATCTATTTGTAACCTTTTTTTCAATTTGTTTTGAATTTTTATGTTAAGAAATAGAAAACATAAAAAGAATAGAAATATTGATGAGAAAAAAAATATTTTATGATATAAAAATAATATTAAATTAAATATGATCAACATTGATCAAAAAATTAAATAATAATTTTTGAACTTGGGAGACTAATTAATTTATTTCTTGAAACCAAAGAGACTAATTTATAATTTACTCAACTCTA